GCTGGCAAGGAAATTGTCATACCTACTTGGCTAATGGCTCCCAGCATTTCCTGACAGCTGGCTTCCAGACACAGGGAGGACAAGGGTCAGGGAAGAGTGGAAGGATAGAAAGAGGGCGCCCCAAGGCCTGCTCCCCTCGGTGCACGACGCTGGAGAAATGTGGCATTCGTGTTCTCAGGGACACTTGCTCTCCTGACCTTGAGTTGTGAGACAGGTCATCTGATGCCCCAGGGGTGCGGCCGAGCATCTTCCTGGGTCCCGCCTCCCCGTGGTGGCAGGAATCCAGCGGGAGGGGTGCGTGGCTGGTGGAGGGCGCTTCCTCTTCCCCTTTCTGAACTGCCCAACTTGTCCCAGTTTTCCCCGGACTTTCCAGGCCTCAGCCTGAGATCTCATGTCACAGAGACCCCGTCCTGGCAGAGCCAGTCTGCTATCTTAACTGGTTGGTCCAGGAGATCTTACAGTTCCACAAGACTCCGTCTGTCCAACCCTCGGCCTTCAGCAGGAGAGTGGAACTGTTCCCAGCCAGGCACCGGACAGCATTCTCCTGGGACAGGTCTGGGAGGGTGAACCGGGTCTTAGTTCACTCACCTGCTCGCTCCTTCGTGCATTCCGCGCCCTGGAGGGGACACACTTCCGCATTGGTGTGTGCCCATCTGGCTTCAGATCCTGACATTCCCCCTCCTGGATTGTGACATCACAGGCTGTGTGCACCCTGGTTTCTCATTTCTGAAATGCAGCCAATGGCAGTAGGTGCCAGAGTTGACCTATGGGAAGTTCTTGGAATAGCAACAGCTCCCCCGACCCTTGCCACAGGGGATTTGGCTCCAGGACCCTCCCCAAACCCTGGGTTGAACTGAACCTATGAACACTCCTGCACCCAGCAGTGGCTGTCACATGGTGTCGGAGTTCATCTGTCCTTCCATGTTTAATGCCTGGAGCCTGCTAGGCGTTGTCTTGAGCTTTGGGGCCTCTAAAATCTACATTGAGGGTGACTTGAACACGAGCATTGCAATTCTGTGACAGTTGATCAGTTAACCAAGCCAGCTGCTAAGTGACTAATGGGGGGGTAGCATATACTGCACGGATAAGCTGGACCAGGGGATGGTTCGTGTCCTGGGCAGGATGGAGCCGGACAGTGCAAGACATGCTACTCAGAATGGCGCTCAATATAAAACTTGTGAATTGTGTATTTCTGGAATTTTCCATTTAATATTTTCAGACTTCTCGGGTCACTGAAACCTTGAAGAGGAAAACCACAAGGAATGGGGAGACCCGTAGGCATCGAGCACTGGGCTTTGGCTCACAGGCAGTATTCCTGAGCACCTTTCCCCTCAGGCCCTGGGGCTGGACCGCTGTGCGCTCGCCTCGCACCTGTGGGGCCCTGGGTTCGATCCTCAGCACCACATAAAAATAAAATAAAGGTCTCGTGTCCATCTCTGTTCACAAAGATCTAGGGGGGAACCACTGGCTCTAAGGGACTTTAAAAATGCAGAACCAGAATGAATGAACAGCCCCGAGGTGACCGTGCAGATGTCACCAATCGCTGCTGTGCCCCCTTCTGACGAGTCTCCCGCCTTTGAAAACAGATAGTTCACTTCCTCCCTTTCAACAAGAGAAGGTGTGAGGGACGATGGCCCGGGACTCACAGTCCGTGGGAAATCCAGAGCCCCGCTCGGAGCCCAGTCACCTCAAAAGCAGAATCGTGCAAATCCTTTCAAAAACTCCCCCCCCCCCCCCCAAGTCTTTATTCCCTGTTGGTGAGGCTGGATCTGGAAAGTCCCCAAGGTCCGCGTGTTGAAGGCTTGGTCCCCAGAGCAGTGGTGTTCACAGGCAGGGCTCGGGAAGTGCCTGGGTCGGGGTGCTGACCTCACTGACGGATCAACCTCTGGATGGGATCACAGCCTGGTGCAGACCGCGGAGGGACAGCTTCAGGAGGCGGGGCCTAGTTGAAGTCACTCGGGGTGGCCCTGAGGGTATTTTTGACCCCTGCCCCTGCTTCCCTCTCTCTGATTCCCTGACGGCCCCCCCCACAGACCCATAGGAATGGCGTCCACCTACCATAGACGGAGACCTCTGAAACTGTGAGCCAAGATGAATTTTTCCTTCTTTAAGTTGTTTTTCTCAGGTATTTTGTCACAGTGACAAAAATCTAACACTGTTCATGTCAATGAATAGAATATATTTGACATAATATATACACCATAAAGATTCCAAATGTAACTGTTGGAATCCCTGAAAGTCATATAAACAGCTCGTAGGGTTAAATAAGAAAAATTAGGGTTAAATCTTAAAATTTAGGGTTAGATAAATAAAATTAAGGTTAAATAGGAAAAAAGTCAGGAATACCTAAAGGTCTATCAGGTGGGTCCTAGTTCAATATGTTTTGATACATTTGTGCAATGGACACTGTAACTAACGAAAAGAATATGGTGCTACTACAAATACATTGGAGAAGAGGTCTTTCTCCTCTCCTGTGCAAAAGCATGCTGGAGAAGAATCTCTACATGAAAATCTAATTATGCTTTTTAAAATATGAAATTATAAAAATAACATTTACTGCTAAATGCTTCACGTAGGGGTAGGCAAGCTTTCTTTAAAGAGCCTGTAGAGAGGAAAAACTAAAAAACTAAAATGTTTTCTACTCTTCTTTAGTCTCATAACACTTCTGGTCACCAAAATATGGGAAGTATACCCACCATGTTCGTCAGCTTTCCATGACTGAGACAAAATACCTGAGATAATCAACTTAAAAAGAAGAAAGGTTTACTTTGGTTCACCATCAGAGGTTTCAGTCCATGGTTGCCTGGCACAGTTGCCTTTGGTCTGTGGCCACACAGGACATCATGGCAGGAGCAGGCGGTGAGGCAGACTGTTCACCTCGTGGCTGCCAGGAAGTAAAGGAGAGGGAGGGGCTGGGGTCCAGTATCCCCAGGACACGCCTCCAATAACCCAGCTTCCTCCCCCTAGGCCCCACCTGCCAAAGGTCCCACCCCCTCCCTAGCACCACAGGCTGGGACCAAGCCTGTAGCACATGGGCCTCCGGTGACATTCGGGATCCCAACTACAGCGCCGACCAAGCACCTCTCCAGCACCAGCCGGTGTCCTAGGCGTTAAGTCTGTTCCTACGTTTCCTGGGCCGGTGTCTGTCCTGCAGGGCTCAGCCCCACGGACCCCCACCACAGATGCGGGTTCCCGCCATCCCTTCTCAGATTTGGTCCCTTGACAGAGGATGGCTCCCGGGACTTGGGGAAAGCTCTCGCTTGCTTTTGCCAATCTGTGACGAGGATACAAAAGAACAGGCAGATGAAGAGGTACATAGGACAAGGGACGTGGGGACCCTGGGGGCACAGAGCCTCCACGCCCTCGCTGGTCACCCCACCCTGCAGGCACCTGCCTGTGTGGAACAGCCTGGGAGCTCCCCAAACCCCTGCTTTGAGGGTCCCAGGGAGGCTGCGGCATGAGCGTGATTGACGGAATCAGTGGCCAATCCGAGCAAGACCTTCAGCCCTCCCCTCCCCAGGGGTTGGGGTGCGGGGCTGAGAGTTGGGACCCTCTAGTCACACGGCTGTTTCCCCTGGCAACCTACTTCCCACTTTGGGAGTCCAAGAGATTTAGGAGCCATGTGCCAGGGAACAGGATGAAGGCCAGACAACAGAGAGAGCCGGCAGTAACTATCCCAGGCTTCAAGGGTCCTGTAGGTCGTGTTGCAACTCGAGTTCTCCCCCGTGGCTTGGACAGCAGCTGTAGGTGACAGATGAAGGACTGACTGTGCCCGTGTCCCAATAAAACTTTATTCTCAAAAACAAGCATTGGGCCACCTTTGGCCCCAGAGCTGTGTTGTGCTGACCCCTGTTCCATGTCACACTTCATTTAATCCCCACAACAACTCTTCTTTTGAGGGGAGGGGCATTCATATGATTGAACCTGGGGGCACTTAACTGCTGAGCCACATCCACAGCCCTTCTTATATTTTATTTTGAGACAGGGTCTTGCTAAGTTGCTGAGGCTAGCCTCAAACTTGTGATCCTCCTGCCTCAGCCTCCTGAGTCGCTGGATTACAGATGTGTGCCAACACACCCGGCACAATAGCTCTCCATACTAGAGACAGTTGGTGGCCCTAAGTTAGATATGTGGAAACTCAAGCTGAGAGAGATCAAGTGACCTGCCCTAGGTCACCAGATCTTTATGCAACATAGAAAAAAGAAAAAAGTCTGGACAAAGACAAATCAAGGTGACCCAGCCCCGGGAGAGAGGAAGTGGTGGCTCCTCTACTTCCCGAGCCTCTGTAGGGATTCCATTGCTCCTCAGGTGCACACACCCTGCTTTGTCACTTTAAAGTCACATGGACCTAAGTCCCGGGACACCACGGGAAGCTGGCTGAAAGCTTCCCCGGCGCTCGGGAAACTCACCACGTCTTCTGTGTTCTCTGTCCACCTCACGCCTCAGTGTGGACGGGCCCCATGGAGATGCCGGAGCACCACATGCCGGAGGGCATTTCTGGAGCCGTGCCTCCCCCGGAGATTTTCATGGATCCGGACATGGTCCAGCAGGACAAGGTGAGGGTCCTGGGAAGGGCGGGGCTACAGCAGCCAGTGGACCGTAGGGGGACTTGCTGCCACCTCGTTTTCCTCTGTGGTCTAGAAGTGCCCTTTTCTCTGGTGTCACAAAACCGCCTCTTATTTAACCAAAAGTTATATCCCCCCAAAAATAACGTCCACAACCACTGCTTGTTGAGCACCTACTATGTGCCAGATTGTGTCCTGTGTCCTCGACATTTGTTAGTTCATTTAATCTTTGCTGTCTTCAGGATAAACTTTAACACCTTCACTTGGCTGGTGAGGAAATTGAAGCTCAGAGAGGTTGAGTATCTTGCCCAAGTTTGCACAGTTCAGGGGGCGGAACTAGGACTCAGACCCAGGTCTGGCTAACTTCTAAGCTGGTCCTACGAGGAGGGGGTGATACATAGGTCAGAGAAAACTGAGCCAAAGAGAGACTTGTTACAGAACAGAGAGGTTTGGAGACTGAGACACAGCAGGAGTCAGATGGGTGCTATTAAGTGAACCTGGGAGGGACGGGTCCAAGTCATCTCTCCCATTTGGCCACAGCTTGGAAATCACTGTTAGGAAACAGCCTGGCAAGCCGGGCACCATGGCCCACGCCTGTCCTCCCAGAGGCTCAGGAGGCTGAGGCAGGAGGATCGCGAGTCCAAAGCCAGCCTCAGCAAAAGCGAGGCCCCAAGCAGCTCAGTGAGACCCTGTCTCTAATAAAGTACAAAACAGGCCTGGGGAGGTGGCTCAGGGCTCGAGTGCCTCTGAGTTCAATCCCTGGCCCCAAAAAACAAAACCCAGCCCGGTGACGTCTTCCTTTCCTTAAAGGTCGAGGCCTGCCCCTGCGGCAGGTCTGAGTCTGTGGGAAACAGAGCGAGCAGAGTCCCTGTGCCCACAGGACGGGCCTGGGGACCTGCAGCTTCAGGTGGAGGGTGGTCCTGGAGCAGCTGTCCTGCTGCCAAGGGGGACGAAGAGCCAGCCGGGGCTACGCTGCCACTCGTGCACTGCTGTGCAGCAAGCAGCCCCAAGCCGAGTGGCTTCAGACAGCAGTGACATTTCCCACGCCCCCAGGGCAGACCCCCAGGTGGCCCGCCTTGCCTCTTGCTCAGCTGCCACCAACTGTTGGGGTGGCCGGGCTGGTGGTCTCCAGGGTGAGTTCCCAGGTCCGGGGCCTCACTGCGGCGCCTTGGCAGCAAGCCTCTCTCTGCCATGACTTCTCACCCTGGCCTCAGGGACCACAGAGGCCAGGACAGAGCTGACTGATGATGATCAGGAAATCGCCTGATGACGCCGGGCCTGGTGGCGCACGCCTGTCATCCCAGCGGCTTGCGAGGCTGAGGCCGGAGGATCGCAAGTTCAAAGCCAGCCTCAGCGACTCAGCGAGGCCCCAAGCAACTTAGGAAGACCCTGCCTCTGAATGAAGAGACTCGAGGATATGAACGAAGAGCTGGGTGGCCCGGTGGCTGGCGCCCCTGAGGTCGGTCCACTGCGTTCTGTGGGTCAAAGCAAGTCACAGAGCCAGTCCAGCCCTGGGGCAGGGGAAATGGCCTTCAGGTAAAGATGAAGCCGCAGGATGTTTGTCACCACTTTTAACCACGGTGGCTGTTCAGCTGGAGATGACGCAGACCCATTTCTGATTTTCCTTATTTGACAGCTTTTGACGCTCTCCGCCATTTCTTCAAGTGCAGGTGGAAATATACAAACTGGGTAAGCCGGCGGTCGGGGAGCACGTATTGGCTTATCCTATAGGAAAGTCAAGGCCTAGCAGCTTGAACAGTGCCTCAGAAGGCTCCCGGTCACCAACCTGTCCCCTGGGTCCCTCGCAGTGTGGCTTCCCTCTAGCAGGTGGCTTTTTGAAGTGGACAAGATGACAAAATGTACAGGTGAGGACCCCAAAGGAAGCAGGACCCTCTTCCTGTTGTAAGCAACACAGAATCCCTGAGAAAGCCTGAACGGACCAGCCTGGGGCACAAGAGCGTCCCGAGGTGAGGCAGGTAGCACAGCGCACCCACCGACTCCTGCCAAGACCACACGGGCAGGGCGGGATGCTCCCTCAGGGCAGGGCACAGGTCCTCACCAGAGAGGCTTCCACCACCCCCTGAAGACTTCTTCATACTCCGGTGCCCAGCACAGAACTTGGCACATAGTAGGTGCCCAATAAGTCTTTATTGCATGAATAATGAATAAGTACCTACTGAGCACAGAGACTCAGGTACAGCAGGGGCCTCAGGAGCACAGGATCTGTTGTCCCTGAAACTTTGCCACGATCACACACTGGGACCCAGAGAAAGAGGCTTGGCAGCAGTCAACGTGCCGGGCAGCCTGCCTGTCCCTCCCAGGCCAGGGAGCTGGGGTCCAGGGGCTCGCTCCTGGCCCCAAAGGCCAAGGGCTGGCCGGAGTCTGCACCATGGGAGGTGGCAGGAGGGAAAGGGGCCTCTTTTAAAGTGACGCATCAGAAATCCTGCAGCTGCGTGTGAGGCTGTATCTGGGTTGGGGCTTCGGTGTTTCCTTTCAGTCTTCCTGGCGTTTTATTGATGACTTCTGCTGAGAAGTTTGGGGGATTTGGGGAGGGGTTACCCTTTTTTGGGAAACCTAACAAATTCTTTGGCCACTGTGCCTTCTCCTCGGGAGAAACGGAAGACAGGCTCGATCACACCTGGGGTGACCCTGCCAGCGATCTGCTCCCGTCCCAGCATCCACACAAAGAGATCGCTGTTCCCCTCGTTCCCTTTCCTGACCCAGCTACTTGGAATAAATCTTCCTGTGGAAAACAAAAGAGGCAGGGAGCACGGGGGAGGGACGGGGAGCAAGGAAGATTCAGAACGTCTTACTTTTTCCATTAAAAACGAATCCTCCTGCTGGGCTGGGGGCCCATGCTGTCATCCCTGAGGCTGAGGCAGGAGGATCGCAAGTTCAAGGCCAACCTCAGCAACTTAGCGAGGCCGTAGGCAACTCTGCAAGACCCTGTCTCAGAATAAAAGATAAAAAGGGCTGGGATGTGGCTCAGGGGTTATGCGCCCCTGGGTTCAATCCCTGGTACCAAAAATAAAAAAGAAGAAGAAGAAAGAAGAGAATCAGCCCTCCTTACAGTTGAGTAGACGCCATTTTCCTAATCATCTTCGTGAGGTCCCCATGTGCCAGACAGACACCTGGTGAGTTAATTCCAAAAACTATAAATGAACTCTCTGGCCCAGACGCTCCCCAGGGGTCCGGCTGTTGTCAATAGGGAAGTTTAGTTTCAGAGGATGGAGGTCCCAGTACCTTTGAGGTGTGGCATCCACTGAGACGCTGCACACAGGTGTGTCACTTTATCAAGCTTCCAAGTGACAGAGACCCCGCTGCCCGCCTCCCACCCTCGCCTTCCTGCCTCCTTTCTGATGCCCTGTTTCTCCTCCTCCTCCTCCTTTTTGAGGTGCTGGGGATTGAACCCAATTTTTCTTCTTGTTTTTTAAAATGGGCTCCGCTCCCATCTGCTTCCCGCAGGATGAGATCATTCTGCTGCTGGGGAGAGAGATCAGCCGCCTCGCGGACTTTGAGATCGAATCCAAATACAAAGACGCGGTGATCGCCAACCTGCAGAACGAGGTGGCCGAGCTCAGCCAGAAGCTGTTGGACAGCGTGGCCTGCAGGCAGGGCGACAGGGGCGCCGCGCACAAGTTCGAGTGTCTGGACGAGGGCGCGGACGACAAGCAGAAGGAGATCCAGAGCTTGAAGCAGCAGGTGGGTCTCGGGACAGGCGGTCAGAGTCACACCGCAGGGTGACGGTTCCCAGGCCAGATGGAGTCCAGGCAGCACCGGTGGAGAGGAAGTGCCCAGGGAGCTGTGGGGGGGGTGCTTGGTGCTACCTGGAGTGAGGGGCTGAAATCCACAGGAAGCAGAGGCCCCATAGCTTCCCAGGGTGGTAACGATGATACAGTACTTATTGAGCACTACCTGTGTGCAAGCTCGAGTACAAAGGGCTTAGGTGCATGACTTATTTAAATTTCTGACACATCCACTATACAGATTAGGAGACTGAAGCCGGCCCAGAGATGCCCTGGAACTGCCCAGAGCTTGCACAGCAAGTTGGAGGTGGCGGTGACTGCCCCTCATACCCATCCAGCCCCAGCCGAAAAGACCTGCAGGCAATTAGCCAAGGGGGAGAGCAGGAGCCACTGCCTTCCAAACACAGAGGCCAGAGGCCTTTTACCACAGCCTAGAGGCCCTAGAGGCCATCACTGGCCCTCTTTTGGGGAAGTCCAGCCGACAGCCCCCTCGGCCCGGATCATCCGCATGCCCAGGCCTGTTCCTTTCTCTGCACACTTGATCCAACTTCCTTTTTAAAAAACATTAGCCAGCGATTCTGCAGAAAAATCAAATCTCAACAACGTTCATGAGAAAGAACTCAGTCAGTTTGAATAGCTTGGCGGGAGCACGTCATCCCAGAGCGCCTGTTCCACTGTCGGTCATCACGTTGAGCTCCTGACTTCTAATTGACGTTCATCATAGGTCGCAGGCGCAGCCGACACAGGCTCCAGGCTTCGCTGGGGTCTTGGGTGGCGCCTCCTGCAGACAAGGTGTGGACTGTTCATTTGTTCATTTAGGCAATAGTCCCCCCCGCCCCCGCCCTCTGCTGGGCTCTGGGAGTCGAGCAGGAGCAAGGCCCCGTGACCTCCTCCTTCCCTCACTCTGCTCTGTGACCATTTAGATATTCAAAGTCCCCAGAGACCCCTGTGTGGAAGGCTTGGTCCCCAGCCTGTGGTACTGGGAAGTGGTCAACCCTTAGGTGGTGGGACCTAGTGGGAGGAAGTTAGGTCACTGGGGACCCTTGAAGGGGATGTGGAGATCTTGGCTCCTTCCTCTTTCTTCACCTCCACTCTAAGGTGAGCAGCTTGCTCCACGTGTCCCCGCCATAGTATGCTGCCTCACCACAGGCCCAAAGAACTAGGGCCAACTGATCATGCACCGGAATTTCTGACCCTATGAGCAGAATTAAACCTTTCTTCTTTTTAAGTTTGTTATCTCCAGTATTTTCTTACAATAACAGAAAGCTGACTAACGTGTGTTCCAATGAAGGAAACAGAATAAACAAGTAAACAAATACATGCTCTCACATTTAAATAAATGAATGACTCTCCTTTGGACCTATTTTTGAAAGAATGATGAACATAGCAGGTCCTGTAGGAACAGCCACCTCACATAGCTACGTTGACATGTAGTTGTTTCATCCACGGGCTTCTTTCTCTTGATGGGAGCCCACTTCCACAATTGGATGAAGAACAATACTCTCAGTAATTCTCCCATTTCAGAGCTTCCTGAGCAAAGCCTGGTCCAGGCACATGGCAGGGTGACTCATCCTCGCTATTCTTGAGTCTCCATCAGCAGGTTACATTTGGAGCATTATTTAAGTGACCAGTCATATCTATAAAATAATCCCAGCGGCTCGGGAGGCTGAGGCAGGAAGATCGCAAGTTCTAAGCCAGCCTCAGCAACAGCAAGGCACTGAGCAACTCAGACCCTGTCTCTGAATAAAATACAAAATAGGCCTGGGGATGTGGCTCAGTGGTCGAGTGCCCCTGAGTTCAAAAAAAAATAAAAATAAATCTCTTTCACCAAAAAATTAACCTAGAAATAATTACTCTGATTTATCACACTCTTGCCTTCTTCTTCCACCCTGATCCTTACTCAGATCCAAGAAAATATTTTATAGCGGGCGTCTCTGAACTAGAGAATGTAGTTGGTCTGAATCCAAATCGAGTTTTTCTATGCACATTTTAAGCTCTTAAATGTTCTATTGCCAGCAGAACATTCAGCCAGAAGCATAAACCACGTGACTGTTTGATCTATTACTGTGATTATGATCTATTATTCTGATTACTCACATATTCTCCTCAGCCCCCGAGAGCACGTGCACAGCGATTTGCTCTCAAAGGCCTTCTAGCTGCTACAGTACCCCTAGACAATGCCGCCTCACGGTCGGAGCCACCTGGGCGAGTTAGCAGGCGGGTTGTTACCTCAAAGCAACTGCTCTTCCCAGCACCATGAGCTCTCCTACAATCCGATGCCGTTCCATTACACAGCATAATGGGCAATCAACATCTGGGATTTCTGCCAATTAGAGACAATATGGATATTTATTTTGTAATCAAAGTAATAAAGAGGTTTGAAAACTATTTGGAGTTTCCCTGCAACCTGAAATCCAACAGCTCTGCTACTTAGGTTGAAATATCCTAAGTGCCAGACAGCACTGAGCTCTTTAAGGGACATCCTTCCCCATCCATCTGTGAGCTCCTCTCTGCATAGTGCCTGCAGTATCCTGCACACAGAAGATCTAGAGATCTAGAAGCACTTCTGTTTTAAAATTCCAAGTATCTTTAATGGGACAGTTGCATTTCCCTCACAGAGAACAGAGGGATGGATTTTTTTTTTTTTCATTTGACATTTTCAAAGCACAAACGTGCTAACGTGTATCCTGGGGATGGTGGGAATAGAACAGCTCATTCTCCCGCTTCTGGCAGACACCCCTTCTCCGGTGTCTCAGATGCCCCATAGAAAAAGAAAGTGCAGCTTCCCCAGGAGTCGTAGATCCAAACCACCGTGGTGCAGAAACGATCCATATAAACTGTCAGACTGCCAGTCTGCCACCAGCGACGACCTCGTGCTTCGAGGGAGAAGCCCGGAACGAGGGCTGTGAGCGCCATCTGGTGGCCAGGCGTGGCACACCCTCGCGGCATTCCCTGAGCCTCCCTGACCCTGTGAAGCCAGGCCCTGACACCCCGCGGGGAATATCAGGGATTCTTACATTTCCCCTCACAGCAATCACGCTGGTGTTGAAGGGAGTCTAGACAAGGCTTACAAAGGCACGCAAAATCATGTCCATCCACCTTCCTTCCTCAAGACAGACCCGAGGCTGAAGCAATCGCACCGTGGAGTAACCATAGCTAACCTCCGCGAGCTCTGGGGACTTTCACAGGTACTCACTTGTCACCATGCTTTTGACAATCCAGTGGGTTCGGGACCATTGCAGCTGTACAGAAGGAGCCAACGAGCGGGGACTCGGCGTCCGCCCTATGTTCACACAGCCTGAAAGTGGCCGCATCAGGACAGAAGGTGGCCCAGCCCGAGCTGTGCGTTCTGGCCCCCAGCCCTCAACGCTGGGTCCTGGGGGCAGGGAGAAGACGGCAAGCCCTGGGGCCCACACCTGAAGACTAGCTCTGAGCCAGAACTCGCCCCTATCGGGTGTGGGCACCCCAGCAAGCGACCCACCCCTCACGTCCCCGTTGCTCACTTGGAAAACGGAAAGAGGACGCAGCACCCTCCAGAGGCTCTGCCGAAGGTGCAGTGTGTGCCAGGGGCCTCGGAGCTCGGGAGCGCCCCGGACACGAGCCTGCATTGTTGTAAGAGGGTCGAGTGAGCCCTGAGGGGTTCTTGTCCCACACGCCCAAAGGGCAGAGTGACCGAGGTGGGACTCCAGTAGCTGACTTATTAGAAGGCAGCTGGGAGGGCCCCGCGGCACGGGACGGGTTCTGCAGAGGGCGCCCATGTCTCCAGGAGCTGGGCTTCACTGAGAAGCCTCTCCTGAGTGTTCTCCTTCTCTGACTCAATCAAGGTGCACACCTCTGAGTTCTTCTCCCCACAATGGATGGTGTAATGTGTTAACCTGAGTTTGACCTGCACTCATTCTTAACATAAAAGAATTGCTTGGGTTCAGAACAACTCCTTGGGGTTGGCCAATGAGAGGAAGTGGAGGGAGCTGGGGGTACAGCAGAGTGTGGGGGTGTCCCCCGTGCGCGCAGGGGATGGGGGTTTCCAGCCAGGCTGACAAAATAAAATAAAAATACACTCTAGCTTGGAGCTTCAGCATCTGCGGGGGGATCCCATTCTCCAAGATCCTCTTTCTTCTCCTCTCTCCTGCCTTCTTGTCCCTGCAGGGAACTGACTTTATCACCCACCCCCCTCTCCGGAGCTCCCCCCATCCAGCCTGTGCTGAGAGCCCAGAGGGCACGGGCCCCCATGTTCAGGAGGCTCCCTCCCCTGTGGCAGCTGGGCCTGAGCCCTTTGTGGGCACCGAGACAAGACCATGTGTTGGCCACGTATGACGTGGCGGTCACTGCAGGAGCCGGCCTCCCTCTCCCTTCCACGCATCAAAACTAAAATGCCTGGCTTCCCCGACAGCCTGTCCCCGAGCGACGGGAATCCCGTCCAGCTTCGGGAAACCCCAGTGTCTCGGACCCCTCTGACGTGTGTGCCGCCTCCTCCGCAGATCGAAGTCCTTCAGAAGGGCTACAGCCAGATGCTGTGCAAGACGCTGTCCGAGCGGAACTCCGAAATCACATCCCTGAAGAACGAGGGCGAGAACCTAAAGAGGGACCACAGCATCACGGCAGGTGAGCCCCCTGGGAGTCGCGGTCAGAGCTGCCCCCCTCCGCCCAGGCGGAGCTTGCAGGCCGTGGGGCATCGCCAGCCCTTGAGGCAGCACAGCTGAGAGTCACAGCTTGTCCCCAGAGAGGTCTACTTGCCGGCCAGCTCCTGGAGCCGCCAGCTCAGGCAGCCCACGGTCAGTGTCTGAGCAAATGTGAGCCCTCGGGCAGAGGCCCGCCGAGCCCTGACCTCAGCAGGGAGAACGCAGGACACCATGTGGGTCCCACTGTCCCCCGAACCTGTGTTTTGTGAAGGCAAAGTAGAAAGTGGAGGAGGTGAGGTCATGGCAGGGCCCCTCGCCCCTTCTGCCCCGCGCCCTTGGGCACAGTGAAAATGTTTTACTCACTGACAGCAGAGGCAGGAAGGACCAGGGTGTCCCAGGGGTCCCTGGCCCTCTCTGCTGGGCGCAGCGCGGCTTAGTGGACCCACTCGCTCGCTCATTCCACACACGTGCTGAGCGCCTGCAGGGCCAGTGCTGCTCTGGCGCTGGCCGGAAAGCCCTGAGCGCCGGCTGTGATGGCTGTACTTGCGGGGCTGACGTTTGGGGGAGAGCGAGACCTTAACCAGCCCACTTCAGGGAGAGCCAGGCTGCAAAGGAGGCGAGGTGGTGCTGGAGGGCAGAGAGGGCAGGAGCAGGAAGGCCCAGGGTCTGCGGCCGTGTGGCTGGGCCCAGGCCACGCGTATTCAGTAGAGGACATGCCTGGTCCCACTCCCCCATGGCTCCCAGCTCCGTTTGGGGACCCAAGTGCAGCTATTTTGTGATCTCATCCATGGGTGAGAAATCAGGGAATGGCCTTAAAGGACCCTGGACACAGCAGGAAACGCATCCCTAGCTGTACCCCAAGCCAAACATGAATCCTGGTCCCGTGGACCTGAGGGCTGTGCCCCGGGCTGGCCTGGCCTGCACCCCTCCAGGCCTCTGGCTCTCCCTCGTGGGAAATGTCCTCTGACACCTGCTGGGTGCATCCTGTAGTCTGGAGGAGGAGCTCCCTGGGCCCTGCCTCTGTCTGTCTGTCCTGTGTTGGTCAGGCTTCCAGGGATTTCAAAGGCACACTCTGGGGTAAGAAGAGCTAGGCTAGGTTGTGCTGCAGTAACAAACAGTCCCCAGGCCTCAGTGGCTTACAGTAGGCAGACTCATCTCCCACTTCTGCCTTGGGCCCATCCTGGTGGAGTAGGGGCTTCACTAATGGTAGCCACTCAGGGACCCAGGCGGACGGAGGCCAGCACAGCAGATCACAAATCTCACCTTCCATGATAAGAGGGCTGATGGAGGATGGAGTGACAGGAACTAGATTTACTCTCCTTCCTGAAACAATTTTTTAAAAAATCCCACATCAGAAAATACAGCTCAGACCCCATGAAGCAGATGACAGTGATCCTACAGAGACAGGGACAAGCAAGATGAGACCCAGCCTGCTGCTCAAGTGGGGACAGACCACAGCCAGGAGAGGAGCCCAGGCAGAGCCAGGGTCTCCTGAGCTGAAGAGACGGAGTCGGAGAAGCTGGCACAGCAGGAGTTTGCTGGCAGAGTGCCAGGAAGGAGGCCACCCAGAGAGAGCCCTGGATCTGCAGAGGGTCCCCTGAAGTCTCCAGCAGTCGGCCCTGAGAGACATGTGCCTGTGAGTCCTGAGAACGGTCCACCTTCCCAACGTCCAGGATACACGGAGCATCAGCTAGAGACTCAAAAGGTGCCGGCTCAGTCGTGGGGCCAAATCAGGTCCAGACTAAAGGCCTCCCGGTCCCACCTGCAAGCTCACAGGCAGGCCCTGAGCGACCAGCCTGTCTCCAAGTCACTTACCTGGGTCCCCCGACAAAGCTCATTTTTGAAATGAAATTCTGGATCACTTCGTTCCTCATCGCATAGACCTGTTTGAATGATCTCTACAACAAAGCTGGGACAAATGTCCTTCCAAGAAAAGGGCCATCTGAGACGAGCCAGCACCACCGCACTCACGAGGCTTCTCCCATTTTCCTTCAATGTGGTAACCTAACAGTGTATGGTCATGAGTTAGTCCAGAAAAAGAGTGGCAAAATAACACGTGTTCGTGGCTCAGGAGTCGGGGTGATGCACCTCCGGCTTGGGGTCTCACGAGGCTGTGGTCTCAATGTGGGCAGGAGCTGCTGTCTCCTCACCCAAAGGTCCCCTTCCAGAAGGATCCATGTGGCTGTCAGCACAGCAGCTACTTTCCCCAGAGCAAGTGATCCAAGAGACGGCAAGAGGAAGCCACACACCTTTTACGACCCAGCCTGAGAAGCCACATCCCACCACTCGCACAATACTACATTGGTTACACACCATGTCACCTTACTCGGGCTGGGAGGGGCAGCTCAAGGGCATGAATCCTAGGAGGGAGGGAACATTGGCCACCTTGGAAGCTGCCGCTACAAATGATCATGGGTGAGCACTGTCCACCATCAGGTACTGGGTACAAGCACTGTCGGCCACTCCGCCGTGTCCTTTAGCCCCATTATCTCATTCCACCCTGACAAACCTACAGACAGCTGCCTGGGGGTCAAGGTAGCCCAGTCAGGACCACTGGGCCAGGAGGAGGTAGAGGCAGGTTTCGGACCAGAGTGACTGAGTGCCCCCACCCATCACAGCCGCCAAGATGCACCCTTTGACCCCAGCCAGTCTCCTGGTCTCTCTCAGCCCCTCCCTCCCCTGGGCCTTTGCACCCCAGGCCCACGGCGTGGCTGTGCCCACGAGGGCCCTCACACGTGGTTCCTGCCTCCCAGGGACATCCACGCTGTCGGATTGCCCCCGAGACCATCAGTGATGCTCAGTGGACACCATCTCAGCCCATTTCAGCTTCTGAGTCCTTGGAGGCGACTCCTGCCCAGTGCCAGGGTCGTCCTCAGCTTGGCCAACGGCGATGGCGATGGCACCTGTCCTTACTGCTTGTTTGACCTTTTTCTACAGGAATGGTGACGTCTTTGCAGCAAGACATCTTGGTGAGGACTGAGCAAGTTCAACAGCTGAAAGAGGAGGTGAATCAGCTGAGGAGTCAGAACAAGGAGAAGGAGCACCAGCTCGAAGCCCTGAACTCCAGGGTGAGTGGCGGCCGAGGCCGCTGGCGGGGTCCCGGACACGCTGGCTCTCGCCTGGGCCCTGGCTTTAAATTTCGCTGCCTTCTCTCTGCATGGGGGGTCGGGGTCAGCGCCCAAGGACATGAGGAGGTGGCCACGGGCTGCTCCAAGTCATAAAATCCTTTCCGCCAACAAAGACTAAAAGAGGTGGCCGAGTTCTCTGCAGCTTGTCACAGAATAGTGGGCAAGTAGCTCAGCATGAGCCAGACGGGAATTCTAACCCAGCCGCGTTCCCAGCGCCCCTTAGAAACTAGTCTGCTTAACCCTGAAACGAGCGCACCTATTAGCATGTGGTTCCATGGCGAGGAAATCTGGGATTTGACACGCAGGATCAAAGCTGAGTAGCGTCCCGCAGTGTGCAGAGGGCACCGGTGGGCCTCGCCTCCACCCTTGGCGTCCATGCAGGTGAGGATTCCTCTAGGTGAAGCCATCTGGGGGCAAGGTCAGAACACTGGAGGGTAATTTTGACTCTGGATTTTGCCCACAGTCCTGGCTGCAGAGTCCAGGTCCGTAAGGGTATGATCTTTGTGTTTCTTGTCGACTTTGTAAAGCCAAGGTGAAGCCTGGGAGCGCTCACCTCAGGTGGCCAGCAGATTCCCAGGCTGCAGGATCCATGGGCCCCCTCTGCGTGGGCGCCAAGGCGGGACCAGATCTGTCCTGTTCTGTTCAATGCCGTGTCCAGCAGCCAGCTTGGAGCTGGGGACCGGGAGAGCAGGGGCTTGGCAGCAGGCCAGGCTCCGATCCAGGATTGCTTTATTAGAACTGGTGCAGCCTCCACTGCCTCATGGTGAAATGGGGGTGACAAAACGCAGCTGAGAAGCAAGGCTGTGAGTCTGCCCCGCCAGCCCTCTGCCGCCCTTCCTCCCGAGCAGATGGACTGGGGGGATGGATCAGGGTGAACGGAGCAGGGAGGCAGACCCCCTGGGCTCTTCTGCCACCTGAGGGCATCTGGGTGACTTTTGTCCCCATCTCCCCTTTGAGAGCTCTCTAGCCCAAGCCTGCCCTTAGCACCGGGCTCCTCGTGACAAAAGACATCAGGATCTTGATGCCTATCTTTTTTAAAAAATTGCATGTGTCATGTGTGTTCATTTTAGAAAAAAAATGAGTAGATGATACTAAAAAGAGAGATTAATATTTTAGTGTATCTTCTCTCCGTCTTGTTTCTAAGTTACCTGAATTTCATAGTGAATTCACATCATGCATGTGTCGGTGAACTTCAAACACCTCCCATTTCCCCGCATTTTGTCATTGGTCTTAAGAGCTCCGGAAGGTTCTCCAGCGAGCACACACTGTGACGGAGCGCCCCCTGTTGCTGGACACGTTTCTTTTTCTTTCTTCTCCCCTCCTTCCCTCCCTCCTTCCTTCCTTCCACCACTGATGCTGAGAACCCGGCGCAGGACGTCCTTCACCTTCAGTTTGGCTGATTGGCCCAGGCCCCGCCTGCGGTGCCCTCCTCACGCAGAATGGCTCCCTTCTGCTCCACAGCCTGCTTCCAAATGCTGCCCCCACCAAGTGCTGAGACGCATCTAAGCCACAGCTAAGCGCGTCCAGCCCAGCGGTGGCCCCTCAGGGCATCCACGTGCATTTCTGAACCCAGCTTCCCAAAGCTGGATTTTTCTTGTGATTTGGATTTCTGGCTTTTTAAAAAGAGCTTAGCCACTCTTCCTCAGGCACTGGATTAGAACAGCAGGGAACGCAGGCTTTCGGGGCAGACAGGGGCCCTGGGAGCCGCAAGCACCCCACGTGGCCAAAACTGGCCTCTTTCTTCTTCTTCTTTCTTTCTCTTCTTTTTTTTTTTTTTTTTTTTTGGTACTGGGGATTGAACCCAGGGGTGCTTAACCACGGAGCCACATCCCCAGCCCTTTTTTTATTTTGAGACAGGGTCTCTATAAGTTGCTCAGAGCCTTGCTAATTGCTGAGGCTGGCCTCAAACTTGTGATCCTCCTGCTTCAGCCTCCAGAGCCACCGGAGGACAGGCGTGCGCCTCTGCACCCATGACTGGCCTCCTTCTCTGCTGTCCTCTTTCTCCACAGTGCTCAGCACTGAATGAAGAGTTAAAAAAGGAAAGTTCCCAGAAGGAGCACAGAGAAGCCCAAGAGAAAGAGTTAAAACACTGCAAAAGCGTGAGTCGAGCTTCCTCTTCTGGGGGTGCACCCAGAAGAGCTAGACTTGGACCTTTGGGTTCTGGGGGGTCCTGGGTCCATCACAGCCCAGGGCCCAGGGCTATGTGTTAGCTGCTCTAGCCCAGCAAAGAGATGGGCAAGAAAACACTGTCCCAGGATTCTCTGAGCAGTTGGCTTTATCTCCCTTATGGTTTGCCCTGGGGAGGGCGGGGGCAGGCACGGGCACAGGAGGCCAGCCAGGTGGCCCCACACGGCCGCTGGAAGTTCATTCCAGTTCCCAGCCCTGGACCTGCGATCCCCACTCTGACACTCCACTGACTTCACTTTGATCACAGCCACGGGCAGTGTTGGGGCCACAAACTCCTTCCTTAGGTATTTTGATTTAAATACATCAATTTTATACCAATTCATAAAAACAAAACAAAAAGTTACACATTGCCTTATATAGAAGGCACCTGTAAAAAAGAATATTATTAAAATGTCTGTTCCCTGCACCTCCCACACCCGCTGGCGCCTCCCCAGCCCATTTGCTGGCGAGCACAGCGCCCTGAACACAGGACACTTGCTCCTCTCCATGCCAGGGACACGGCTCTGCCTCAAACAGAGAAAGAAAGAAGGAAGAAACTTTTCATTGTTCTGTTCCTCCAGTTGGCCTTTATTTGGACCAATCTCAAAAACAGCCCCCATTTATATTCCAGGCACTTGTCAGGATGAGCCCCGCCATTGTGTAGACCGACAATGGACCAACGGAGACATTTAGAACCCCTGCCCCAGAGACGGGATTCTAATGAGTCGGCAGGTGTCTCTATTGGCCCACTCGCCATCCCTGCCAATTGCCAAGAGAAACAAACTATTTTCCTTCATGCATCTTCTCTTTTTTTAATATTTATTTTTAGTTGGAGTTGGACACAATTCCTTTATTATTTTTTTATTTTAATGTGGTGCTGAGGATCAAACCCAGGGCCTCCGATGTGCTAGGTGAGCGCTCTACCGCGGAGCCACAACCCCAGCACCATCATGCATCTCTTTTAATATTTTAACTGAAAATAAAGTCCGCTTTGCCTGCAGACCCGGTACTTTGACCCAGAGAAGGGATTAAGCAAGCTAACCCAGCAGGCTTGGCCCCTCGGTGGGCCCAGTGAAAGGGGTCCCTGGGCTTGGACCTCCAGCCAGAGGGTGAGCTGACCCTTCTGTGGTTGGAACTCTTTCAGCAAATCCAAGACATGGAGAAAGAAATGAAGATGCTGAGAGAGGAGCTGAGGAAGAACTGTTCTGAGCAGAGCATGATCTATAAGACTCTGCGGGAAAAGAGCAAGGTAGGTGGCCAAGGCCAGTGGGAGCACTCAGGCCAGGTGCTCCTCACAGCGACCCCATGTGGTGGACGCTGGTATTGGCCCCTCTTTCCAGATGAGACACACGGAGGTAGAGAAGCTCCCGGTTCACCCAGGAGCTAGACATGGCAGGACTCGAACCCAGCTCTGACTCCCACACTCCCTGTGTGACCGCTGCTCCAGCCTGTCCTCCAAAACTACCCCCACCTCTAGGTCCTCCTGGATTTCACATTTCTCCTCACAGAGAAAACCTTCCTCGCACACTCTAGACTCGTGCCCTCCGCCACAGAGCACCCCAGACACACAGGGCCATTTGAATTTTAAGTCAACTAAAAGTAAATCCAACAATTCAGTTTCCCAGTTGCACCACCCACATCGACAGCTCCCCTGGCTGGTGCCACTGTCCTAGACTGCACGGGTAGAGGACATTTCCACCATGACAGGGAGCTCGACTGTTTTAGACCTGGCAATCACAATGGGGAGCGACCACCTTGGACAGGGTTAAAATAGGCTTATGGATCACACATGTCTTTAAAAAATCTAAACTGGAAATAACTGCGAGGATCATCCCTGAGGTGGGGTGGGAAGCTCTGCTCTCCACCTGAATCATCTACTTTATTTGATGAGAGGACAGTTGTCACTGAGAAAACCAAGAACATTTTAAGAACAAAATCAAATGACAGGAAAATTCTGAGAGGATTTTGCTCAAGGATGATCTGAGAAATGAAAACAAATACCCCAGTATTTTCTCCAGTTTTTACTTAATATATTAACTGTTAGTCATTGAGAGAGTGGCATATTTTTAAATCACATCATTATCGTGGATTGTCTATTTCTTTTTAATGCTGTCAATTTTTGCTCTATATATTTTGAGTCTGTATTACTAGGTGCATAAAGTTTTAATGCTAAAACATTAAAACTTCACAAGCTAGAATACATACTAGACAAGAAGCAGTCTGAAAAATCTCATCTCAATGATACTGAAACTTGCAAAGTTGAGTACATGTAAATAGAAATAACACAGAATAAAACCAACAGTGAAAAACACAGAGTAAAGTTTGATATTCACTAAATATTGAGAAAAGAACAAAATATTATCAAAAAAGGTTAGATGTGCAAAGTATAATCTTGGGAAAATATAGACTTGGTAGAAATGAGGGCCATAGAATAAAATATACAAGGGCAAAGCTATGCTTGGTAAGAATTTGATAGGAATCAGAAAAACTTTTTGATGAAATAAAATCATATTTGTAGAACTTACCCAGAAAAGAAGAAATACAGAGAAAAATAATTTCAAAAAGAATTTTAGAAATTGGAAACATATGAAAAGCTATTAAACCACTGGCTTTTCTCTGAGCTATGAATTTTCCTCAAAGCAAGGCTTTGACTACATTCCACAAGTTTTAGTATATAACATTTTTATAATTATTTAAATCAAAGTCTTTTCCAATTCCCTTTGTGATATCTTCTTTGAGTTGTGTTATCTTGAGGTTATTTCCTAATTTCTAAGCATATGAAGATTTTTTATGATTACCTTTTTGCTCTTGATTTCTAGCTTAATTATGGTGGAGAATATCCTCTGTGAGTTCAAACCTTCCATATTAAGACTGGTTTTATAACCTTCATGTGGTCAATATTGGTTCCACATATGCCCTTGAAAAAAATGTGCATTCTGCATTCTTTGGATACAGTATTCTATATTCTATATGTTTATTAAATCAAGGTTACCAATGATATTCAAAACTGAAATTCTCTTATTGATCTTGTAATCTATAGGTCTGTTAGTCATTGAGAGATGGCATATTTTTAAATCACATCATTATTGTGGATTTGTCTATTTCTTTTTTTAATGCTGTCAATTTTTGCTTTGTATATTTTGAGTCTGTATTACTTGGTGCATATGGATTTGTCATTTTAATACTTTCTGTTTGATGAACCTTTTGATCATCATGAGATGACTCTCTTTATCTCTCTCTAGTAGTGTTTTTCCATTAAAGTTCACTTTGTCATTAATATAGCTCCATCAGCTACACTGGATTTCTTTTTGTTAGAGTTTCATAAATATTTCTTTTCACTTTTTCAATCGATCATTCTTAAAATTTAGATATATCTCTTGTTAAAAGCATATAGTTTTTTTTTTACCCAGTTTGGCAAGCTTTGTCTGTGAGTGCATTTATGTATAATGTAATTGCGTGGTATACTGCATTTAAACTTATTGTCTTACTCAGTGCCAGTTGTACCACTTACGCTATGATGTTTTTCTCTCCACTCTTGCCTCCTGTGAGCTGATAGGGTTTTATTATTTCATTTTTCCCCCTACATGGGCTTAGAAATTTTTCACCCCTTCCCTCTTCTTTTATTAATAGTAAGATACCCCAGGGCTGGGGATGTGGCTCAAGCGGTAGTGCGCTCGCCTGGCATGCGTGCGGCCCGGGTTCGATCCTCAGCACCACATACAAACAAAGATGTTGTGTCCGCCAAAAACTAAAAAATATATATTAAAAAAAAGATACCCCAGCAAAATCTGGATACTTACTGAATGTTTTCTTCCTTTACTGTTCTTCTAGAGGTTATGCTAAGAATCACAGCGTTCACTTTCAACTTGCCAAACCCAGTATTCCCTGACGAATCTGCCTCCTTGATGACATAATGGCCTTAGACAGTGACACCATGCAGATTCATATCCACTATCAACTTCCCTCTACATTTGAAACCCCAAAAGACATTGTCAGTATTTCTGTAGAGTCCATGTTCAAATCTGTGCATTAGCTGTGCCTTCTCTACTCTCAGATGGCTCATGTGGGACAGTTTTTCTTCTGCTTAAAGAGTGTCCTGTAGTGTTTTCCTTCATTATGGCTCTGCTGGTGACAAATTCTCTTAGGCATCTGCAAGTGCATGTGTGTGTGTTTGTGTTTGTGTGTGTGTTTGTGTGTGTGTGAGAGAGAGAGAGAGAAAACACCTATTTTACCCTCCAACCTTGGAAGATATTTTGACTGAGATTTGAGTCTATGTGGCAGTTGCTCTCTTCAGGTGCATCATTCTCCTGTCTCCTGGCTCCCATTGTCCCCATAGAGAAGTGAGCTTTTATAAACCTGAAACTCATGCCTTTGGTAATCTTGGGATGTTTTTAAGATTTCTTTTCCTTCGACTTAGAGCAGTTTTGTGTAGTTTTTCCAGGTGTGGATTCATGATTTATTTGTCTTATTTGGAATTCTCTGGGCTTCTTGAGTATTTGGCTTCCAAAATATCATTTTGGAGCTTGGCATTTGGAGTGAAAAGCTTCTGAAGGCCTTTGAACGAGGATTGACGTGATCACATTTGTGATTAATCATAATGGTGGAAATGACAGCTCCGATGTCCCATGTCCTCGGCACCATGCCAGACATTTCTCTCTTCTCATCTTCACACCAGCTCTGTGACCTAGGAAGAATCTGTCTGTCGTATGAACGAGGGAGCAAGGGATGAGATGACCCACAGTGAAGTGGCCCAAAGCCACGCAGTCGGTAAGGGGCAGAGCAGGACCAGGAGCCAGGTCCGTCTGGCTCCAGTTTCTGTGGTAACTGTTGAGACTGAAATTAAATGAAGTTTACAATTCAATTCCTCCATAGTCCTATTTGTAAATAAAATTGCATTTATTTTTAAATAAAATTCTAAATGCAATACCTCCTCTGATCAAGAAGGGTATTTAAACCCCAGTATGCCCAAAACACATGTCACATGCTCAGTGGCCAGTCAGATGGCACAGACCCAGCCACCTGCACCTAGAAGACAGTCCTCCCAGACAGGGCTGCTCCCAGCCTGGTGGACCCTCACAGCACACTGAAGAACATGCTGGAGGGCTGGGGATGTGGCTCAAGCGGTAGTGTGCTTGCCTGGCATGCGTGCGGCCCAGGTTCGATCCTCAGCACCACATACAAACAAGGAAACAAGGATGCTGTGTCTGCCGAAAACTAAAAAAAAAAAAAATATATTTAAAAAAAATTCTAAAAAAAAAAAAAAAAGAACATGCTGGAAGGAAATGCAGAGGCTGGGAAGCCACTTCTTGCAGGAGGGAGGTTCTCAGTGCCTGGTCTGAGGCCGGGTAAAGGACAGGAACCCAGTAAATCTCTGCTGACCGAATGTACTGATGTTCTGTGGCTCTGTTAGTGACATGGGGGACAGCACAGACAGGCTTGGGGACACTGGGAGGTAGAGCTGGAGCAGGGTGGCAGCTGAGGACGGCCCTGGGTTTGGGGCTAAGATGAGGGGCACACAGCACCTCCAAGGCCGGGCATGGCCTCCATGCCTCTGACCCAGAAGTCAGGACGGCATCCCTTGCCCCCGCCCTCAGGCAGGTGCCTCTGTCCCTGCCTCCAGCTTCCTGATGGATGGTTTGCAAAGTTGCTTCAGCACAAATCCTTTCACTTGGCATTTGCCTCCTATCTGAGTAGTGCCAGGGTCCTGTGCCACCGCAGGTGCTCAAAAAGCAGACACTTACTATTCAAAACTGAATAGAGAGGCTGCAGGGTCCCATGACGGCCAGCAGAGGGCAGCATCGAACACTCCCAGGCTCCCCTCCTGCTTAAGGGAGCCGTGGGGAGCCGAGAGCCAAGTGCCTGCTCTGCCGGCTGCGATTCTCCACCAGCCAGTGCTCAGCCAGCCACCCAGAGCGTCTCCACGGGCGAACGTGCTAAAAGTTCATGGCGAATACTTATAAGTAAACCCAACAGTAGCATTGGCCAATCCCCCGTGGGCCCGTTACTGAGGATGTTAGCATGATGCCACATGGTATGTCCCCAACCCCCTCTTACAAGTCACAACCACGCCTGACACACTTGCCGAGCCCTTGCGAAGGGCCAGAGCTTTCTAACGGTCCTTAACCAGCGGTAACCCTGCAAGGCAGCTCTGTACCACCGTCCCCTTCCGACAGGGGAGGACACTTAAGTCATGGACCAGTGGTGGGGCTTTCCTGAGGTCACAGGGACCATGATGGATTGGAGTCTGGGCTAGGACCAACAGTGAAGCCCAAGGCACAGAGCCTGCTCCTTGTCCCAGGGGATAGTGCTCACTCGTGACCCCTGCATGGGCTGCAGCTGTCCCTCTGCCCCTGAGGGACCCAGGCCATTAGACCTCCCAGTGGAGTCTCCCCAGGGTGCATTGGAGCCACATGAGCCCCAGACACAGGCTTTCCTCATCCTTTCAGGTGGAAGAGAAACTTCAGGAGGACTCCAGAAAGAAACTGCTTCAGCTGCAAGAAATGGGGAACAGAGAGAGCCTGATTAAGGTCAATTTGGAAAGGGCAGTAGGTCAGGTAGGCGTGCTCCACCGGCCCCATCACTGGCCTGTTTCCCAGCAGTCCTCTGCACCCAGGGGGCAGGTGGGGCGAGAGGAGGTGGCACGGCCTGATTCCTGTGGGCCTCGGGACCAGTGGCCTCTGGGTGGCTGTTGCTGGAGAGCTCTCTCCTGAAGGAAGACCCCTCTCTAGCAGTGACCCAAGACTCAGGCCAAGCAGCCAGTCCTGGCTCCACACCTGCCCAGGCCCCTTGGCCCCAGGGTATCTCTAGGACATTGAGTCCTGACCAGTCCCCAGCAGGTGTCTCAGTGTCCATAAGGAGACGCCACTTCTCTTGATAAAGTAAACCCCAAGCGTCCAAAGTCCATGCAAGATGGAGACAGTGCTGGACAGGGTGGTGGGCAGGCCTGACACGGCCGGGTGGGAGGCACCATTTCTCCAGTGCTCAGGCCCAGCATGGCTGGCGGGGCCCTCTTGATACACAGGGCACAGGTGTGAGGGCCAGACCACCAGAGGAGACTTCACCAAAGGCTCAGGGAGGCAAACTGGAACCCAGGACCAGAGGGCATGACCCCCAGAATATGACCCACCCAGGGCAGAGACCTCCGCACTTCTCACAGAGGGCCCTCCTGAGGTCAAGCGTTCCAGGGAACCCCCAAAACATTCTGTGTGTGGCGCTAGTCTTCCAATACTGTGACCAAAGTGCTGCAAAAAGGACGTAGAGGCAGAAAGACTTATTGGGCTCATGGTTTCAGAGGATTCAGTCCATGTTGGCCAATTCCACTGCTTTGGGCCTGAGGTGAGGCCGGCCATCATGGCGGAAGGATGTGAAGGAGGAAAGCTGTCAGCCGCGGCAGCCGGGAAGCAGAAAGGGAGGAAGGGGGGAAGATACACCCTCGTAGGGCACACCCCAGGGGCCCACTTCCTCCACGGAGGTCCCTCCTCCTGAGTCTACGCCACCCACGGGCCGACCCACCCAGGAGGTGAAAGCCTCCTGGCCCAGTCACTGCCCCAAAGCCCCACCTCACGTGTCCCGAGGTGACGTCCACATCCACACCCCAATCCGTGCCTGTTTCTTTGTTTCTGGGAGTCCTTGGTCACACTCCCAGAGGCCTGTGACCTGCCAGGCAAGGGTGAGAAGCACAGTCCTCCGGGGTCCTCCACACCCAGCCCAGCGCCCACAGCCCTGCCACGGCCACATCCAGTCTCCAGCCAGCAGTGTGCCCAGGGCTTTGTCCCACACTCTGACATTCAGAGGGACACACAGGGCAGAGATGCTGACCGCTGGGCAAATCCTAGAGCCCTTCCACACACACCCACCTCCGCCGCCCTGGGTCCTCCTGAAGGCTGCCAGCCTGCGCACCTGGGCAACCCCTCACTTTCCCTGCCCCCGCACTCCCAACGCACCCCGGACTTCAGGGCCTGACGAGGCCTCTGGGCCAAGCGTCGACGTCTCATCATGGCTCTGGGCAGAGGTCACTCCCACACCCCACCAGCTCAGACTCAGAGAAGGGATGAGCCCAGGGCCTTGCAGCCTCTCACCCCTGAGGCCTGGCCCCTGTCTGCATTCTACCCATCCGCAGCCCACTGACTTCAGGACCAAGCCCCCTGCCCTGGGCAGTCCTTCCTGTAGGCAGTCCACCCACCAATGGCACTAGGGACCATTGCTCACAGGGCTCCTCCTGATAACCAACTCCCTGGGTGAGCGGGGACCGTCTCTTGGTCATAAAACCAGAGGACAGCTTGGAGTGCCTCAGGTCCCCTGATCTGCTTCTGGCAGGAGGACCTCGGGACGTCCGTGGGAGCTTGACCGCCTCACTACTTGGCTTCCAGGATTTCTGCATGCTGTGAACTCGTGGGCCTGGGGACCTCTTGACTTTTCAGTTGATTCCGTGGCCTCTGGGTCCCCCCAGGGCTCTCATTAGAGTCTTTAATGACCACATTTTTCCAGGGGACAAAAACGCAGACCAAGAGCTGCCATGCAGGTCAATTCCCAGAGGACGCGGGGCTTCTCGGCCTCCTGCTGGACTCCAGGGCGCCCTGGGCTTGGGTTCTGTGAGCGTCAGCAGAGGCACCAGCCACCTCAGCCTGAAGACACCAGCTCGCAGGAGGCCCTGAGCACCCGCGGCTTGGCCCGAAGCAAGGACTCTGACCTTGACAGGGTCCAAGTGCCCAGCGAACGCCTGCTGAGTCCCCACTCCACGCCAGGGGACCAGGCTCAAGGGACTCAGCAATGAACGCCACAGACAGAGTCTCAGGGCGCCTATGGCGTTAGCACAAAATGGCAGAAGAGAGCGCCTCCCCTCTCCCCAGGCGCCCTCGCTGATTGCACAATTTACTTGGGCTGACAGTCTCAATATTTATTTCACAGTCTGGTGCCAGCTTAGCAATTACAGAAGAGCGCTCCCGGCCCCAGACTTCCCATTGGATAAATTGGCAGCAAGTGGCGCTTTTAGGGCTTGAGACACATGTGCACGCAGACCACGTGCCTGGCTTGGGTCGGGCAGGCAGGCCCAGAAAGTAATTAAAACCTGCTGCTCTCCTTCCTTCTGTGGGTACAGACAGCCGCTTCTGGTGCGCAGCGAAGAGTCCCAAACCACGGAACGACCCCCTAGGCGTGTGGGCCCGTCCAAGTGACTGTGTCCCTGGACCCCAGGACAGAAGTGCACCCCCGCCCCGACTCCACCCCTAAGGCCCCACTGACCTGTCGCCCCCTTTGTGCCGCAGCTGGAGCAGTTCAGAAGCCAGATCATCAAGGCCACCTACGGGCGGGCGAAGCCAAGCCAGGACAAGACCATCACCGACCAGCAGGTCAGTGTGGCCCGTCGCCACGGGCTCCTTCGCTCCTCTTCGGGGATCGGGACGCCAGGCCCTGGGAGCATATGTTTCTGTTTTTGTTGGTGGCACATATTTTTCACACTGTCGCTACACCATAAAGATTTGTTTTGATTTTATGGGATTTCCTGGCTTTTTAAGTAAAAGCCAGTTAAACTCCTTTGAAATGCTCTTATGAGAATCAAGTTCAGCCACGCAGGACACGTCCAGCCACCGGCCACACACACACAGAGGGGCGGTCTCCCCTTAGTCCATGAGCCCTGGCTTCTTCCTCCCAGAAGAGAGGGTCCTGGGGTGGGCTGCCCTGCTAGTCTTCCAGGACCCTTTCCTGTCCTCTGGGTCACTGCACAGGTAAGAAAACACACCATGGGCTGCGCCTGTGGGGCCCAGGAGAGCCCGACCCGCTGATTCCCACAGCCTCAGGCTCCGTGTTCCGAGTCACTGCTACAAATGCAGAAGGATCTGGGACCTCGCAGCTACGGTGCAGGCCTTTGGCTCCTAGGAATGACCTCTGCTCCTGAGTCCCAGGGTCAGAATGGGTGCTCTCCCTAAGACCCACCTGCTGAGCTGGGGGTCTCCAGCTGCCATCCTCTGGTCCCCTCTCCTGATGCCACTCTGCATTCAACATCTTTCTTTTTCTCACCAGCTGATAGAGAAGATCACTCAGGTCACCGAGGACAACGTGAACTTGCAGCAGAAAAAGTGGACCCTGCAGAAGGAGACCCAGCTGAACAACTCCAAGCAGGAGGAGATGGCGAAGAGCATGGAGAAGCTGAAGGCGTCGTTGGACAGCTGCCAGGTGCCCCTCATGCTTCCCACGTGGCCCCCTCTGCCTAATTGGTATGCTTCATTTTTGGTGAACTGTCCAGCTTTCTGGAACAGGGGGGACAGCAATGCCCTGGTTCTCTGTACCCACCTCTTCTCCTCTTGGAGAACAGAGAACCAGGGACATCAAAAATGCCTCCCAAGTGAAGGGAACACGAGCATCTTCCAGTCCAGTCACCCTCTGCACCAGAGGGTTCCGCATCCGCGGGTTCAGCCAACCACAGAGCCAAAATATCCAGGGGGAAATGCGTCTGAGCTGAGCACTGTCAGTATACCCTAAACGATAAAGGCTAGCAACTGTGTACACAGCATTTACATTATACGAGGTATGCCGAGCCATCTAGCAATGACTTAAGGAATACTCAGAAGTTATATGCAGATCCTACACACTTTATGTAAGGGGCTTGACCATCCTCAGATTGGGGGATCTATGGGGGTGGAGGTGGAAATAGGGAACCCCAACCAATCCTCCATAATACCAAGGGACAACTGTACTGACTTGAGGAAGCCCCTGGGGCAGAGGAGGGAAATCCCATGTTATTTCCAAAGAAGCCAAAGACGTTTCTGCCCATTATTCGCACTTACTTGTTTGGCTACTTCCTCTGGTCACCTGTGATCCCAGAGGAGCCGGGAACAGAGGCCCAGGCCACCGGGGCCCCACCGAACTTATCTCAGGCAGCTGCTTGCGCTTTCTCTTCGAATCAGCAGCTGCTATTTGTGGAGTTGGTGCGAATGCTTGCTTGTCAGCACTCCTTCAAAAACCAGGAAGCCACACTTTCTGACCAGCTTGTGTGTTGATGTCTGCAGGAACCGTGATAAATAGGAGAAGCCAAATTGGGTTCTATTTTCAGCCAAATTGTCTAAGGCAATTTGGCTTTGGAATCACACGTACCTAAAAGGGTGTTCCCTAGACTCTCAAAAGGGTACAAAAAATATAATTTGCAAAAAAAAGAAAAGAAATGACATTGAATAAAACTGGGGCCCCTCCGGATGGCCAGTGCACCCTGGCTCCCTTGGGGCAAGGTCCAGGTGCTGTTCCCTGCCACAGGGTCTGAGCTCCGCACCTTCTTGTCTGTTTTCAGACTTGCTTGAAAATGTCTTGCTGCAGCGGCGACCTGAAAAGAGAGGTGGACCTTCTCCAGCACCTTCAGATGAATCCACCTGTCCTGGGGCTCCAGAAGGTGACCGTGGACATCTTGAGCCACTCACTGTCCTGGCTGGAGGAGACGGAGCAGCTGCTGAGGGACCTCGGCATCCAGCTACCCAGCTCCGAAAAAGGTTCCTGGGATTTTTTTTTTCTTCTTCTCACCTTAGTTGCGTGATTCTTAAAATGTCGTGATGAATCCTGCCGTGATGGGGCATCTGTTGAGATGGCTTCGCAGGCATGTGGCCGAATATTCCCTTCTCCAGACTTAGTTGGCTTAGGAAGTGATTTTTCTTAAAAAAAAAAAAATACACAAGTGAGACATGATTGTCACAGAAATGAAACGTGACAGAGGCAAAAGGAAACTGGGAGAATTCCAAGTTATGCCGACTCCTGTCTCCCAGCAGGAACTCCTGTGATATTTTGTAACTTGCACAGCAGTGTCTCCTGGTAGTAGCTGTGTGACTCCAGGAAAGTTACATAACCTCTCCACGCTCCAGTTTCCTCACCTGCAAAACGGGGATAGTAAGGAGCCGCCACCTCTAGGGGTCATTGTGAGGACCGGAATGAACTGATCTCTGTAAAGTGCTTAGACTAGGTACCTGCACAGAACAGGCATTACACATTTATTATTTTAATTCTGCGAAAAATAGTTTCCTATTACAACCAAATGTTGCTTGAGTCTTGTTACCAATGTTGCATTGTTGAGGAAACCCCTGTTGGGTGGATGCACACAGACCTCCCTGGTGACAGTTGGTGGTGGCAAGGAATCCCCTGTGTGGGAAGTGTCAACTCTTATTTAGCCGGTCCCCTGTGGGAGCATGGAAGTTGCTTCCAGTCTTCCTGCTCCTCGATGGTTCCGAGGTGAACATTGTTCCACAGACTCCTCATCTTCTCTTCCTCCTCCTGGGGTGGAAGGGCAGGGACCTCTTTCCCTCCACAGGTCCATTACCTGTTTACCATAACCAGGCCTTGAGCACAGCAGAGGCACGGTGGTGGGGCAGGAGCTGGTCACGGTTATGATTGTTCATGGAAAAACTCCTCCAACTTAATGTTTGAAATAATAGATCATAAAATATTGGGGGGAACAGGTGCTATCCTTGCCCTCCTACAGCTTTCAGTCTCTGGGGGAGGGAGGGCATGGGCATGGAAACTCTCTCCAATAAACAAAATTTGAATGGTTGCAATTGCTGTGAAGAAGTGCAGGGTTTGAGCTGGTCAAGGAGGGCGGGGCATCTGCAGGATGCGCAGGACTTGTTGCCATAGAGGGGAGGGAGAGCGTTCTGGGTGGGCGGACAGCATGGTGGTGGGGGTTAAGAGGCCAAGGACAGGGGCTGGTGAGCAAGGTGGGCACGGGCTGTGGGGGCACAGACCCCAGGGCCCTGGGGAGAAGCTTTATCCTGAAAGAGCAGGATGAGAGGTTTCGAGAAACTCGTGGGACAGTTTTGCATGTTGAGAGCATCATCTTGGTCACAAGTGGAGGGAGGCCAGTCCGGAGCAGCAGGAGCCCAGACAGGGGCTGCCGAAGATGACGGTGGCTGCAGTAGGCAGGGCGGATGTGGAGAAGGAGAAGACGCTGGGGCCTCAGGAGGTCCATCAGGAGGCCTCCGTGGCAGGACAGGGTGGGGCTGGAGGGGAGGTGACAGAAGAAGAGGTCTGTGTGGCTTCTAGGTTTCTGGCACTGAGGAAAGGACAGATGGGGTTGTCTCACTAAGATCCAGAGTTAGGGGTGCCGAGGGGGCCCAGGGCTAGGGGGCAATGAGCACGAGGTGGCGTGAGGCATCCGAGGACGTGCCCAGGAGTCCGCTGTCACAAGATGCCTCACTGGAGGTAGACATCAGGGGTTATGCCAAGACGCAGAAGAGCATGTGCCACACGAGGGTGATAAACGTCCAGGGGAGGGAAGGGACAGGAGTGGGGCACGGGTGGGTGGATAAAGCCGCAGGTGTGGGAGGTGCTGCTTAGCAGGAAGGGACGTCCCAGGGCCAACCCTGAGGAACCCCAACGTTTCAGATTGCAAAATTGCTCTCGAGGAGGTCACATGAATTTGACATTCTCACAGTGACGACTGAGAAGACGGGAGTAATCCTCCACTCTGATGCCTCAGTGTCCCCAGCGGGATGCCTTCAAAGTCATCCCAAAGGTGGTGAAAAGTTCTTGGGGGGAAAAATAGGCAAAAGCAAAAATAAGATTTATTTTTTATAAGTGCCGGCCCTCATTGTAGCACAAAGGAGGGGGGGTGTCAAAGGCCAGGGCAGAGGGACAAAGGACTGGGGTGCTCCCCACAGCCCAGCAGCTCCCAGTCACGGTTACTGTTCTCTTAACCTTACCTGACTGTTGAGCTCACCTGAGGACAGGTGACGTGTGGAGCAGTCTTGTTCTTCCAGGCTGGGACCACAACAGGGGCCCTCGTCTCTCTCCTGGTGGCAGTGGGGGTGGGGGGCAACCTAGCTGTGCACTGTCCCTTCCCACTCCAAGCAATTTCAGTCACTGATGCCATGTCTATGAATCTAGCCATACGTCACTGTCACTAAATGTAGTGGTAAAGTTAAACTGTCAGGCCAGCAATTCCAGAAAGGCTGAGAAAAACCAGTTTTAGCCAACAAGGCTTAGACCTGCCATTTTTCTCTTTGGACTTCATAGAGTCACAAGCTTTGAGCAGCATAAACTGGTCTCTGCAGACGCTCCTCCGTGAACATGCCCTGCGCATCTCCAAGAAGGTGGCGTTCCCAAATATGCGTCCTTTCTTGCTGCCCTTACCCCCAACTAGCACCTCTTAAAATAATGTTCCATGGGACACCTGTGGGTGAAACCGTGCTCTAGTGGCTGTAGTCAGCGATGGCAGCTGCTGAGTTCTAAGAAGTCAGGAGAAAGGAAAGGTCAGTGAGCGCGGCCCTCCCCACTGGATGGAAGAGAAAGCTGGTGGCAGAGGCATTTTCTCTCCCAGTGCAAGCAATATCAGGGGAAGCCAGAGCCTTCTCTATGTTCTCCACCACGGACCCCAGCTCCCGGCCACAGCCATCCCAGGAGGAGCGGGAGGGGACGGTGGTGTTGATGACATAAGTGATCATGGTGGTGATGGTGATGATGGTGGTGTTGGTGATGGTGGTGATGATGGTGATGGTGGTGATGGTGATGGTGGTGATGGTGGTGATGGTGATCATGGCAGTGATGGTGATCAGTGGTGAAGGTGGTGGTGGTGGTGGTGGTGATCATGTTGGTGGTGGTGATGGTGATGGTGGTGATGGTGGTGGTGGTGATGGTGATGATGGTGGTGGTGGTGGTGATCATGTTGGTGGTGGTGATCGTGTTGGTGGTGGTGATGGTGGTGGTGGTGATGGTGATGATGGTGGTGGTGGTGATCATGTTGGTGGTGGTGATGGTGGTGGTGGTGATCATGTTGGTGGTGGTGGTGATCATGTTGGTGGTGGTGATGGTGGTGGTGGTGGTGATGGTGACAATGGTGATCATCACTCATCATCAAGCTCTTATTCTAGACACCAACCTCAGCATTTTACATAATTATCTCGGTTAACCTCACAACAACTCCATGAAGTGATGGGGTCCATCATCCTCATTTTAGAACTTGGGTGGCCCAGATGGAGAGGGGAAGCTGCTGGAAGCTCTGCTGGGTGACGTCAGGCACGGCCCAGGGAAGAGGCCCTTGTGGCTTCACCTACCAGCTGCTGTGTGAGTGGGGCGGCCGGCTGCGTGGTCCAGCGGGCAGATGGCAATCAACCAAAGGACCTTGAAACTCGCTGCACCCACCTCCTGCCTGGTTTCCCAGGCTCCCCTTGATAAGGGAATCAAAGGACTTTTACATTCTTCTCTGTTCCTTCAGTTGTTTATGTCTGTTTCTGGAAGACTTTGTTACAAATGAAAGGCTTCCCCTCGTGCATGGAAAACTCGCCATTCTCACATATCCAAGATACACAGTGTCTTCTCGTGAGAAGACAATAGGGCCAGTTGTGGTGTGATATGCATTCTGTGTTCCTTTTTTTTTTTTTTTTTTTTTTTTTTTTCCAACAGAAAAATCTGGAGAAAAAAAAATGAACCCTTGAGAGTATAGTCGCAGCAGGATAGGATGATGTGGGACCTTTACGTTCACTCAGTCATTCAACAACTACTCACTGAGGGCCCACTGCCATGTAACACATGTAACTTTTCTAATCACAAATATAATAAAGACTTGCTCTTCCCCCAAAGAGGAAACTCCTCTTGTGCTCACAGTTCACCATCTAATCCAGAATGTGACCCAACACTCCCTCTCCCCTTCAACAGCCTGGACTCCCTTCTCCCTCAGTCCTCTTTGGATCTCACCCAGGATCTGAGCCTTGCCCTTTGGGGCCTGGGTCACAGGGGCAGAGGAGCAGAGCCCAGACGCTCGCTTCCTCGGCCTTGGTCCCTGCTTTGCAGGGACCCCGGCCAGGGTCAGCCAGGCCGCCTCTCCTCCCGCCAGCTTGGTCCCTTACAGCTCCTCCCCTGGCGCCTCCTCACACTGGCCGACGCAGCCCTCTCCCCTCAAGCCTTCAAGTCCTTCTAAAAGTGCATTCGATGACATGTCCAAGCCCCTCCCGCTCTTGGCCTTGCCCCACCAAGTAGCAGACGTGGATCCCTGCTGTGTCGAGAGGCCGCCATCTTTCCCAAGGCCGTGCTCCCTCCAGCCTGGCAGTGCTCCCGACTGTGTTCCTCAAAACCCTCTCCCACCTGGGGGCCCGGGTCCTGGAGCACCCTGGCTCTCCCCTGGTCTTTCCCCACGGCTCTCAGCAGCCCCCTTCACCACCGACTGTCCCTAACATGAGTGTGTCCCGAGTGCGGGCCTCGGTCCTGCCCCTCTTGCCGTCTCTCTCCACTGAGGTGTCCAGCAGCCCCACCTACCCCATGGTGTCCAAATGGACGCATCCACGGGCCTGTCTGCCGGAACGGGAGTGCAGGCTGGGGCCCACATAAGGGGAGCCAGCCAAGGCAGCCGGTGGGGCCCTGGCCCAGGCCACACCCACCAGCAGGGAGGGAGCTCTTTCCCACGTTTTCATAAAGACCTCACCTTCCCACCGGGCACGCCCAGCTCCCGCTGACCAGCTCTCCTTGGAGTCCCTCCATGCATCAAATCCAGCATGTCTAAGCAGACCTTGGCCAATCCCTCTCTCTCTCTCTCTCTCTCTCTCTCTCTCTCATTCTTTCCTCTCGGGCTGCTTCCCCCAACTCGTCCAGAACACTAACGCCTGGGGCCTGGGCCTCCCATGGGCTCTTAGCTCAGCTCTCTGCCTCTAACTCAGAGGAGGGGACTTCCCCACCTCGGGGACACCCAGAATGTCTGGAGGCATTTTAAATTGTTGTAAGTGGATCCCCGAGGCCCAGCCCAGCCACCGGCAGCCACGCATCTCAGAGCCATCTAAAGGGACACGGCAGTGGGTGAGGCCTTCCTTCCTGCTCCGTGGAGGACCAGACCCGCAGGATGCCCTCGGCCCGGACCAGGGATGTTGGTCAGGTTCACAGGTTCTAGGCTACTGCTCTAGGCCTGCCTCGGGCAGATCGCACTCTCCCATCTGACTCCACCCTGGCTCCCGCCTCAGCCAGGCGGCCCAGGGAAGCCAGCACCTCCCAAGCCACGCACTGCGGTTCCTGTTCCCGTCCCGCCTCATCCCTGTGCCGGTCTGCGATCTGCTGTAACCACCACCACCACCTTCATGGCTTAAAACATGCCTGTATCCTCCTACAGATCTGGAGGCTGAAGTCCACCCGCGGCCTCCCCGGGCTGACGTCAGGGGTGTGCAGGGCTGGTCCTGCGGGGGCTGCGGGGGAGAATCTGCTTTCCCGCCGTCCTCAGCTTCGGGGGCTTCATTTATTGGCTGTGGCCCCTTCCTCCACCTTGTTGCTATGCAACAACGCACAGCATCTTGGACTCTGTTTCCACCACGTCACCTCCTCTGTCTGTCCATCTGTGATGGATCTCCCCGTTTCCTTCCCGTAGGAGCCTGTGTGATGGAGAACCCCCACCTCCAAATCCTTCCTTAGGCACGTTCGCCAAGTCCCTTCTGCCGTGTGAGGCATATCCACGGCTCCAGGGACCAGGAGGTTGGTGGGGGTCATTCAGCCAGCCACAGGCTCTGCCCAGAGCGCCCTCCCCTCCCATTCTGAATTCTGCCTACACGATGCCCCCACCCCGTGGGTCCTCCACCAAGTCACCTTTTCCCATCACTCTGCACAAACCATCCCTGTCTCCCAGGAGACCCTCTCATGCCTCCTGTCCTTCACTGTCACCAACAAGCCACCTAGGGTCCCTGCTCGTTTCCCGCCAGGCATTAGAACTTGTCTCTCAGGTTGAACCCTAAGGCCCTGGAGCACTTGGCCTCCCTCCGTCCCCCCTCCCTCCACACCTGGCACTCAGTGGACACGTGGAAACATAGGTGTTCTGTTGAGGGGTCTTTATTTCCCGCCTCCAAAAAGAAACGTAGATTGGAGCCCAAGCAAAGTCCGTCAATCATTGTAAAAGTGCGAGTCCAGGGGCAGCTCTGTCCTCTCCACAGGAGGCCCTGGGACCTGCACCCACCTGTCCACGGGCTCCGTCAAGACATCGTCAGAAAATAAACAAATTTTTTTAAAAAGACATTATTCAGAAAGCAAAGGAGTTGAACTGACACCTTCTCCCCTTCTCTTTTTAAGGGTTCTCTTTGTACCTGGTGTATCTTCTGGAACATTATAAAAAAATCATGAGCCAGACCCAGGAGCTGCAGGTAAGTCTTTCAAGTTCTTTTTTCCAAGTTGGTTCAGCTCCTGGACGTGAGTGTGCTCCTCTGAGTTGGAGATCTGTTTCTTCTCTATGGCGAGTCAACCCCCAGCCTCGATAGGGGACAGGGTGGCCGAGGTCTCCCACTGGCCAAGGATAAAGACAGGAAGCTGGGCCCTGGCCAGCCTCCTGGACGAACCACGGTGCTTGTCTCCCCTGTCAGAAACCTAAAGCACTCCATGCCATCGGATCTTGAAAAGTGTGTGTATAAAACCCAGTGTGGGAAGTCCAGCTACCACGGTCCAGGCAGCAGAGTTTCCAAAAGGAAGATTGGAAGGGCCAGTGACCCCTAGGGGTTGATCATGCTGATAGCTATTGTCATAGTAACATGCAAAAAGAGCCACATTACTTTAGCGGCATTCAACAACTACTAGTGCCTGCTCACCTGCCCAGGTCAGCAGCCAGGTGGCCCTGCTGGCCTTGGGGGGCTGGCTCAGGCCTCCTGGTGTTGGCTGGTCTTGGAGGATCCAGGCTGGCCTCTGGAGTGGGGTGCTTGACTCCACGTGTCTCTCGTCCCCCAACGAGGGAGCCTGGGCATCTTCTCCCGAAAACTGCGCAGGTACAAGGGACAGCGGAAAAGACCACGTAGTGCTTTCCTGTCCTCTGCTTCTGCCACATATGCTGACATCCCTTTGGCCAGAGCAAGTCACAGGCCTGAGTCCAGTGTCCCGGGATGTGGTGGGGGCAGTCTCTGGGAGTGACACAGGCAAAGACATGTCACTTAGCGAAGGAAGCTGCAGATCAGACGGTCATTTCCACCCACCACAGAGGCCTGGTCCAGGGGTCAGTGACTTTCTCTGTAACGGCCCCTGGCCAGTCTTAATCTCTGCAAGAAACGTGGCCTCAGGCACAGGCACAGGCTCAACTCTGCGTGCAAATGAGCAGGTGTGGTGGGTGTGGACGCTGCAATAAAGTTTTATTTACAAACGCAGACAGTGGGCCAGGTCTGCCTGTGCACTGTAGTCTGTCAACCCCTGGTCCTCGTTTCACAGATATGGACATCAAAGGCCAGAGAAGTTGGTTACTATTTGGTCACCACCCAGCTCACGTGCCCCACAGAGTTTCCTGATGAGAACAACTTCATTAAAAGAACCAAGACAAAGCTTGCGCCTTCTGACTCCCAGATCACTGCTTTTCCTCCCACCCCCAGCAAATAGTAACCAAGAATTCCAGCCGCCGTTTACTGAGCACCCACTACGTACCAAGCACCGTAAAGCTTTCCATCATCATCTCATTTAATCCTCACAATTCTAAGACACAGAACACTATGATCAATCTCATTTTCTAAATGGGGAAGCCTCCGGAAGTAACCTGAGCTGGGATTTTATCTAGATCCCGAATCCAAGGTCTTCATAGTCTACTGCTTCCCCACCAGAAGCTAGGCCAAGTGCAGTTTGTCTGTGGGTTGTTTTTTTAATATTTATTTTTTAGTTGGACACAATATCTTTATTTATTTATTTTTATGTGGTGCTAAGGATCGAACCCAGGGCCTTGCATGTGCTAGGCGAGCGCTCCACCGCTGAGCCCCAGCCCCAGCCCCTTGTCTGTGTTTTTAAGAAACTTTTGTGTAAATCTTTGTCCCCCGAAAGGTAAACAATTTGCAAGTGAGTGTGGAAATGACTCCTCCATCCAGTCCCTGACAACCTCGGCTTCCTCTTTCTCCTCTCAATTTAGATCAAGCTCAGCAGCTCCCAGGAAACCCACCAGTTTCTGCTGCAAGAAAAGCTGCAGGAGCATCGGGCAGAAAAGGAGAAGCTGAACGAGGAGAAGCTGGCGCAAGAGGAGAAGCTGAAAGGCAAAATCAGGCGGCTGGTGGAAGAGAAGGCGGTAAGGACGCCCTGCTGTTGTTCTTACTGCTGGGAACCTATGAAGGAGGCTTTTCTAAGGGAGATTGAGAGCAGGTGCTGAGATGGAGAAATCCCAGCGACGGCTGGCTTAGTACTAAGGATGTAAATTATTAAACAGGATGAATAATCATGAAGGATTCCACATGAAGCCCGAATTCTAAAACTCAGCAAAATCAACCCGAAAAGGCAGGACCATTGCAATTTTGATCGGTGCCACCTTATTTGTTTCTATATTGTAGTTATATACAGATCGTCCTCACTGCAGCAGACCCTGGTTTGTAAGTGACAGAGCAATGGTGCCAAATCAGCTTCTGACCATCCCAGTCTTCATACATGACAGGGAAAACAAGTGACCGGAATGGCTACTAAATTTTCTAGAAACCTGTCCAATTAGAAGACACCCTGTAGCAGCGCATGTGAGATGCTAAGCCGAGGACCATCTAGGGACCTGGCTCCAATGCAGACTGGGGCTCAGTGGTTACGATATGCTTCAGATGGTGCCGAGGCGACAGGTCTGCATCTCACTGCAGCCTTGGAGGAAGGTTTTGCCAAAGTTTCCTGATAAAAACAACTTAATAAGGCGCCCTGTTAAAAATACAGTCTGTCGGCGCCCACCGCAGACCCACTGCCTGGGAATCTCTGGAGAAGGCCAGGAAACCATGTTTCCTGCTTCTACCTCATCGTGGTCTTGAACTTGGCCCTCTCTGATGCTCAGGGACCCGCCATGAGCTTCACCACCTCGTTTCCATCAGCCTGGGTCAGCGGCTCATGACTTTGGCCACCTTGTGTCATTTGGGAGATTTCAGAACACTCAGCCTTGCCCCCTCCCGACCCCCTGGGCTCCAATCTAGGTGGGGTGATGGCGTGGCGCTCGCTCTGGGGTCGGTAAACACTCTGGGCGATGCCCACACACAGCCACAGAAGAGAACCGCTGCCCGAGGGAGTGGACCGGCCTTTCCCGTGGCCCCTCCTCCCACCCCTCGAGACAGCAGCCCCCCACCCGCCAGACCCCGCTCCTCCCCTGCAGTCCTCTCCCTGTGGGGACTACATGGTCACGGGTGCCCCCTTTCACCAGCTCCTGCTCAGCCACTGCCCACCTGGACACTGTCCTCCATCAGCACACCCCTGTCCAGGCCTCTGCAGGCCTCTCCTGGCCCCGCCTCGGCCATTTCCATCGCCAGTTCCCACCCAGTTACCCTGGGCCTCTCCCCTCCTCCTGCCTCTGCCCTCCTGGCCTCTTTCTTTGCCTTTTATGTAATAAAAGATACACAGAAGGCCCCACACACACACATGTCCTCAGAGGAGGCCCCCGACACGTCCTCAGAGGTCACATTACATACCACAATCAGAGCCGTGCACTTTGAAGAGCAAGTAGGTGTGGAAGAGACAGCTCCATCCACAGACAGGAGGCTTTACCGGCCCAGACCTGACGTCTCCGGTGTCCTCCCAGACTGTCCCTCCTCACCGCTGTCGGCCAGCTTCTCAAAGAGCTGCTTCCCAAAACCCTGCTTGGGGAGTTTTGCCGGGGACACTGGTTTTTCCCTTGTTGGGATCTGGTGCCTCAGGCCCAGCATGGTCAGCCCCCAGGGCACCCTGAAGGCTTTCCCGTCACCCGCTGACCACGTGGCTCCCGACAGAGCGCACTTCTATGGCGGCTTTCAGCCCCCCTTAGGCACACGAGCCTCCATGCACCCAGCCCGTCAGAGGCGACGGTTCCCTTCCTGATCCCCCTTCCTGGAGATGTCACGCTGACGTGGATCGGCCAGAGCCGGGGGACTCTGAGGGAGCTTCTTGGGCCCCAGTGCTGGCTCCTGCTGTTCAGTGGACCTTCCTTGTGCCACTGTCCCAGCTCCTGGTGAAGGCTGCTTGTGTGAGGACTTTGTTGTGGTGGAAGAAGGAATTCTGGTTTCCTCCCCCCCAGCATTTCTTTTTCATTGTGAATTTGAACGTCACCTCTGACCTCTGCACCCACCAGTGCTGTACACCAGGCCCAACCAACGGCTTCATGAGAGCCAGGCGACAGGTCTTGCAGTTTAGCTGGCCATGAACTAGTCCTGACGCGACTTCTCAGCTCCGCTACTGAGCGACAGTAATTCAGGACACACACACGGGGACGTCGTGTGCTAATCCTTAACTTAGAACCAGGCTTTAGAATCCAGTGGGGCCAGGGTTCCGGTTTCCAGTCCCTGCCTGAGTGAGTCACTGATAGAGCAGGCAGATTTCTTTTTCTCTTTTTCTTTCTTTCTTTCCTTCTTTCTTTCTTTTTTTTTTTCAGTACTGGGGATGGAACTCAAGGACAGTGTATTACTGAGCCACCCCCCAGCCCTCTTCTTATTTTTTAGAGACCCAGACTCACTAAGCTGCTAAAGCTGATCTCAAACTCGCGATCCTCCTGCCTCAGCCTCCTGAGTCACTGGGATCACAGGCGTGACCACGGGGCCCACCAAGATTTCTCACTCTCTCTCAGCCTGTCTCCTTCTCTGCACATGGGGCTGCAAGGTGTTCCCTGTGCCAGCCATCCCCCCATTCTTCCCATCCTCCCGGTGCAGAAGGAACTGTGGCTGTCCCCGTGGTGGCCCTGGGAAGCTGAGGCACGGTGGATATTCCCACTTGGCCAGGCCCTCCGGCTGGTGTCCAGTTCCTGGCTCTCACAGGGCCCCGCCTACTCCAGAGCCCACACCGGGCTCCGGGGCTCTGCGGCCCTGGGTGGGGTGGGACTGGAGAGGGACGTCTGCAGAGCGTGGCAGAGTCACATTCCCGCCATGGTAACCGGGTCTGTTCAACAAGCCTCGCTGACTTGCAGGCCCTGGAGGAGAGCGCTGCTCAGGAGAAAGGCAGAGCCAGGGAGGCCCTGCAGGAGGAGCAGCGGAGGGTCCAGGAGCTGGAGGGCCGCCTCGCCCACCAGAAGGAGGTAGGACTCAGGCCCACCCCGGGACGCCTCCTGGGGCCCTGATCCGGGCCCGCCTGCTCCAGCACCCTCCTCGGGTGCCGTGGGGAGTGAGGGGACCCGCGCAGAGCTGGCAGAGCCACCTTCCCGCACGGCCACCAGGTCCGTTCAGCGGTCACCGTTGCTTGCAGGCTCTGGACGACCGCCTGGCTCAGGAGAGACGCAGGTCAATGGAGGTCCTGGAGGAGAAGGAGAGGAGGGTCCAGGAGCTGGAGGGCTGCCTGGCCCGCCAGAAGGAGGTGGGTGCCCGGGAGGGGCCGCAGGGCAGTGAGCTCAGAGGGCGGGGAGGGGAGCAAGTCAGGACAGGGGACAGAGGACGGAGACGTGGCATCTTCTGCAAGGAGGTTGAGTCCCCAGGCACAGGAAGGGGGGACAGCAGTCATGGGGGTCCAGGCTGCAGGGACCCTGCCCCAGTCACCCGGCCTCAGCCCACACCGAGGACTGTCTGCGCCCCGGCCCGCCATCGTGTGGGTGCTGTGCGCTGGCAGGAGGTGCTCCCTTTAGGTCGAGTTGGGCGGCACCTTTCTGGCCACCAGAATGCCATCCTCAGCCCACCCCCGGGCCCTCCTCCACACGATAACGGGGGCCGTTTGAAAAGGGGACCTGCTCCTGCGCCTGCCCCCCTGCGGGCCCAGGCCCCTCTCCCCACTCGTCTGGCAGGACTGGAGCCAGGGCCTCTCCACGGCCCTCTGTGCTCTCTGGAGGCTCCCAGATGCGTCATGTCGGACCCAGAAAGTTTTATTCTGAATTCATAAAATGTACTTAAAAATTCAGATTTCCATCCTCTCTCGAGAGTCGGGAAATGTGGCCCCCGTTTCCACTTGGCAACAAGGACCAGTGCTGAACCAAGTGGCAGCAATCTGCCCCAGTCCTCACCTCCTCCCGCATTGACACATCCTCACTTCTGGCCCCTGACTGGCCCTACGGGCACTTGAGTTTGCCATCCATCACTTGTTTTCTTCCTAAAGTGTGGTAGCCAGAACCACTCTTCCCCAGCCAGGGAGGCCCAGGGATGTGGGGTCAGGCGCTGCCGCCGACCCTAAGTCACCAGAGGGGGCCTCAAAGTCCCTCCCTGGTTGAAGATGTTCTACTTCTTTTAATGTGCCCAACTAGCTTTGGGGACGCTCTATTGCATTTTTGATTCATGTTTAGCTTGTGGCACCCTCAGGTCCCTGAGCCCTTTTCATGCCTGCTTTTGTTAATCCCTCAATCCTAAGGCAGCTGAGAGGGGTGCAGGCTTTGCGGCCAGGTGAGATGTGAGTTCGAATCCTGACTGGAGCAGATCTGTCAATACCTCCCTTTGTGGAAGGGTGGCTGTGAGGGTTGGACATGTCCCAGGGAGTGTCTGATAGAAATGTCACAGAATAAATGGAAGTTTCTATTGTCACTTCTGCCACATCTACCTCTTCCTGTCCACCTCAGAGTGACACCAGCCCGCCCACATGAGGGAGAAAGAAGAGACCCCTGGATACAGCCCTGCACCCCCAGGAGGGTGTTGGCTGTTGGTTCCCCCCCAGCTGTGCTTGTGGTTCTTTGTAAACAGTGTCACTGAGGTGACCGTCGAGTTCTATCTCCAGGGAGGGTGGCAAGAGGAGGGAGGGTCTCCGTGGAGTCACTCAAGTCAAATACCACCAAGAGGTCAACAGAGGACGGCCCTGGAATTGAGGGATTTTGAGATCACGAAGCAGGAGTAAAGCCCGAAGCAGATGAGCCAGGGCTGGTGGCCCCAGGTCTGTTGGAACTTCAGCTACCCCTGGCCAAACCTCTCTGTGGCCTCTCACGAGCTCTGGCCGCAGACTGCGTTCAGCCTGGGGCGGGGCAGGGGGACTTTTCTTTTACCAGAAGAGGGCCACAGGGATAGTCCGGGTCGTGAGGTAGGGTTAAGGGTCAGCTCGCCTTCCCTGCTGTAGACTTGGGGGCACAGGGACAGGGTGTGTCCCCTCCAGGTGGGGCCCGTCCCAGCCACAGAGGAGCTGCAGAGAGCAAGGCCAGGCGCCTGGATGTGGGGTCAGGCGCTGCGGCCGACCCTAAGTCACCAGAGGGGGCCTCAAAGTCTCTTCACGGGTCACAGGAGCACCCCCTACCCTGAATCCCACCTCAGGCCCTCAAAATGAAAGTGGGGTCCCTGCACTGTCTCTTCTCATCTGCTCTGTTGGGCTGGTGTGGGGACAGAGGGCACTGGAGCTTTTAAACCACTTTTTACTGCAAAATATGCAACGTCTCGGGGCTGAGCGCTCCCGGGGGCCAGCCTGGGGCCCTTACTGTGGATTTTAATGGCATCTGTGTTCCAAGTTCTAAACTCCTGGCGCTCGAGCTGGCGTTCAGAAGGCTGGCCCAGGAGTCGGTGGCCAGAGGCGAGGCCGGCCCGCGGGTGGCTTCCTTGGGTTCCTTTGGTTTGACTTAAGTCCTTTAGCCAATGACCACTTATCACAAGAGCTTCCCGGATGAATCCTGGACCGACCGGGTGTCCCTCCAGGAGCCCCTGCCAGGCCCACCCCTGCCCCTGTGGAGACTGTCCGTCTGGCTCCTCCCTCCTGGGCCTTGTTCTCCTCTTGAAACCGGATTCGGCCTAAGAGATTCACCCCAAGGGTGGGGACGCCATAGGGGATGAGATTCTCAGGGAGGCTGCCTCCGATGACAGCAAGCCTGGCCCCTCTGCCTGCTGGGTCCTGCCCCAGGCTCCGCGTGCAGCTTCCCCCGAGCAGGGTCCAGGCTCAGTGCCATGAGCCGTGCCAGCTCGAGCCCCCCCACCTGTCCCTCCATCTCTCTTCTATAAAATGGGGCCGCAGAGAGCTCTCCCCACCCGGGTGCCGGAGGGCGAGGTCTCCTGAGCCCGGGGACTGCCAGGGCCCCGCGTCGTGGCCCTCAGGACTGTCCTCAGCAGCGTCCGGAGCAGGCACCCAGAGGAGCGGCCGTTGCCTTTCAGGTTTTGGAGAGCAGCCTAGCCCACGAGAAGAGGAAGGCCAAGGAGGCCCTGGAGTCGGAGCGACGGAGAGTGCAGGACCTGGAGAACCACCTGACCCAGCAGAAGGAGGTGCGAGCCAGAGCCAGGAGGCCGGGAGCTGCAGCGGCCAGGTCGGCCAACTCCTAGCGGCCCAGGGGACAGCCGCAGACCTGAACCTCCCACCCTCAGTGTCCTCACCTATTAAATGGAAACGCGGCCAGCCCCGCCCACAGCAGTAGGTGTCACTGGGTTGAAGTGCTTGGACGGCACCTGCAACCCCCAGCTCGTCCTGCCCTGGGTCCCACCCAGGGCCGAGGCCGCCCTCAGCCAGCATCCTGCTCATCAGCATAGCCAGGCGACAGACACCCCTGCCACGCGGGGGACTCTAGAGGACCCCGGGGCAGGGGGGACTCTAGAGGACCCCGGGGCAGGGCCGCAGGCGGGGGGCCAGGCAGGTCTGTGAGGAGCTCTGGCGGAGGTCGCATCCAATAAGGGCAGCCGCCTCCTGGGGCAGGTGAGGAGAGCAGCCTCACAGGGCCAAAGCCCCCGGGGAGGTGAGGAGAGTCCCAAGTGCAGGAACCGGCAGAGGACACACCCGCCCACCCGCCTGGGGACAGGCCCACCAGACATCCAGCCTCAGCAGGAGGGGACAGGCAGGGCTGGGTAGATGTCACTAGCAACCCCAGTGGCATGTCCATGGGCAGCGGCGGGCAGAGGCAGAGCAGGCCCACCCTGCTGCCCCTCAGGGAACTCAGGGAAGCAGGTGGTGGCTCGGTGGCTCAGTGTCATTCATCACCCATATTCTCTGAGCACCTGTGTGGGGGGCCCTGCTCTGGGGACCAAGGACACCACAGTGGACAAGACGAGCCATGGCCACGCTGCCCACAGCCCCCGTCCCGGGTCAGGAAGACAGAACCCCAGGAAACGGCCAGTCCCGAGGATTGGCTAGAGAGTGGCCAACACCCATGGAGAGCTCTGAGGAGGTGACCCTGAATGACACCTGGAGGGGGGATGGGACCTGAGCCAGCCAGGGCACAGTGGGGCCTGGAGCTTCAGGAAAGAGCCAGAGAAGGAGGCAGGAGCTCGCTGGGGGAGCAGAGGAGGGGGCCGGGGCTCAGTGGGCCCAAAGAGCCGGTTCTGGGCGCCAATCCCGCCTCTGTACTAGCACGCTGTGCGACCCTGCAAGCCCCTGCCCTCTCTGTGCCCTCGTCCATGATGGGGGCAGAACCACCCCAGAGGCCTGGGGAGAGGAGTCTGTGCTTACGGGACACCCACCCAGGGAGGGCAGGGTCCAGGGTGCAGCAGGGCAGCCTTGCCACACCCGAGAGGGCAGGAAGGGCAGAGTCCAGCCAGAGTGAGGGAGACGGACTCAGAGTCTCGGCGAGGTGTGGAGCACCCCTGCCATGTGGGGCCCCGCCAGGCGAGTGCCCAGCGTGCGTGTCCTGCCTTCCGATGGGCCGCGGTGGAAATCGCAGGACCGAGAGGCTGGGTGCACAGTGGTTAGGGCAGGGCCCTGGTGGCCAGCTTCACACCACTTCCTGGGGGGGTGACGGGGACGTCACCCGTCCTCCTCCTACCTCAGGCACAGCCTCCATTGCCTCACCTGTCAAGGGCACCCCTGGACCGGGCTGGCAGGGTGCATGCCCTCGAGCATTCCCCACACAGAGCAGGACGCGGGGCCATGTCCCTGCAGGTCTCATCTGTGCTACGCTGAGCAGCACATGGCGTGAGAAGAGATGCAGAATAGGCTGGTGGCCTCTTAGGCAGGCAGGATGTGGCAGTGGGACAAAGTGAGGCCAGAGCCCGGGGAGGGTGGGGGAGGATGTGTGCAGGTGGGGCCTGGGAAGGCTCATCAAAACCTAGGAACACTGGGAACACTGTCTCTTCTTCAGGGCCACGTGCCTCCCAGTCTCCCCACCTCTGCCTCCTGGTTAAAACCTCCCCACCTGCCTGACATTCCCTGTAACAATTTCCCTTCGTTCTCCTTTGTGACAAGAGCGCACATCCACTAAAGAAAGTTAGTCAGCAGAGCAGTGGGAAGAGGGAATATAAGTGCCACGGTCCTGGTCCCCCGCCACCAAATGCCCCATTTACACCTCAGTGACCCTGCTCCAGCCTCTGTCTGCACAGCACCCAGACATTTAAAATACCCGTCTTGTGGCCTTTCTGTTGGTGCCGGGGCAGAGCTGCAAGAGTGTCAATGGCAGCAAACAGAGTGTCTCACCCCCGGGCTGGCTGGTCCTTTCCGGGTTGTGCAGGGGAGTCCCGGCCTCCACCCCGTGCCCAGGTCTGTGGAGTAAGTGTCCTCAGCTCCACGCTGTCCTGGGCATGAATTCCTGAAACCCACACCTTTGTATATGGGATGATTCTGCCTGTGTCCTTTGAAGCCAGGGACAGGAAGGGTGGGGACAGGAAGTGTGCCCCTGTGCTGTCTCTCTTCCCACACCTCCTAAGAGCCAGGTACTTCCCAGCCAGGCCTTTAGTGGTGCCAACACATGCCAGTTCATTCTGTGGCTTGGCGCCAAATGATATGACCATGACCCTGGCACTAACCAGGATGTCATTTCCTGAAACCAGCCCCCAAATCCTGACGACCAAGTCACTCCCTCCTTCATGTGCAAGGCTGAGATTTGGCTCCTGGTTCTCGCCCTGCCTGGCGGCTGCTCCAGGAGTCCCGCCCCTCTGCCAGGCGGGCCCTGGCTGCCTGCACTCTAGCCCAAACCCCATCCCACTGTCTTCCGCAGAGACTGGCCCTGGCTTCCCTCTGCACTGACGGTCCCCCCTTCCCTGCTCACCCCTTGTCCCCTTACCCTTGACTCCCAGATCTCAGACAACAGCATCGCCTACGAGATTCAGAAGGCGAAGGAGGCCTTGGAGAAGGAGAAGAGGAAGGTACAGGACTTGGAGAACCGCCTGACCAAGCAGAAAGAGGTATGAGTCTCGGCGACCAACGGCGGAAAGGAGCCCAGTGTGGCCCCGTGTCCAGGGGCTAGTTCAGATCCAAACTCTGCCTCCCTCTGGCTGTGGGTCATTAGGCAAGTTGCTCGCCATCTCTGTGGGACCCATCCTAGGTCCCAATAGTGCAGAGCACATACACGTGCATACACACACATGCCACAAGCAGTATCCAGAACCAAAGCAGGTGGCCCCCAGTCACCTGGTCATCGGGTGAGATTTGCCTAGAGGCAAATGAATCCGAAAGGACTTGGAGCCAGTGGGGACCAAAGAGGGTCCCTAGCTCACAGCCATCTTGGGTCATTTACTAGCATGCATCAGACTCTCTGGGGAACTTATTCCAAGTCCCTCTTCAGGCCTCACCCCCAGAGTTCTGACCCGCAGGGCGTAGGGCCGACTCGGGAATCTGGAAGCTCTGCCCAGTGGAGCAGGGCCCCTTGAACACCGCCCAGGAAGAAGGTTGACGCACACATGCCACCACACAGCCCCTGGGCACCTGGCACATGTACAGAGAAGGCGGAGGTGTGCAAGACCCAGGGCTGCCCACTGTGTGCGGGGAGGGTGCCCAGGCCACATGGGAGCCCCAGGGGAGCAGTCTGTTTGTCCCCAGGCTGGGTCCCCAAATGATGTGCCACAGAGTTAAAAAAAAAAAAAAAAAGGTGTGTATCATGAAATCAATGAATGAGTCATGACTTTATTCTAGAAGTTACTGGGTAAGGCAAAGCCTGTGCTGCCTACTAGGCCAGAACCGTCCAAGCCACAGAAACGGGACTGTTCTTGGTACTGGCCCCAGAGAACCTCTCCTAAGGCTCATTGTATGGAACACACTGTAGAGCAACAAGGACCGTCCTCAAGGACACCCTAGAGGGGACAGGGACATCCAAGGGTAGGTCTGTGACAGTCAGCAGCTGGCTTCACACCAGACCAGGAGGAGCAGAACTCCACCCAAGGACCCACCATGTGCCTGCAAAGACCAAGGGAACAGCAGGACTTGGGTCTGAGCAATGGCTGTGTTGTTTTTTTTTTTCAATTTGAACCCAAAAATGAAGCAACAAAAGCGAATGAAGCTCCAAATCATCAAAATCAAAAGCTTCTGTACGGCAAGGAAGCAACAGGATAAACAGACAACTCGCAGACCGGGAGACACATACTTGTAGATGTACATCTGATAAGTGGCAATGTCCAAAATTTACAAGGAACCCAAACAGCCCTGTGGAAAGAAATAACCCAATGAGATATTTCATAAAAGACAAACAGTGGCCAACTGACACTGGGAAAAATGCTCCACATCACCAACCACCAGGGAGCACAAATGGAGCCCCCGTGGGATACCACCCCACACCCACCAGAGGGGCCGTCATAGAAAAAGATACCCCGTGTCAAGCAGGATGTGGAGAGAAGGGACCTTGTGTACCATCAAATTGGCACGGCCACTGTGGAGAGCCACATAGAGGTCCCTCAAAAAACTAAAGATCATGCTAAGCAAAATAAGCCAGCCACAGCAAAACAAATGCTGTGTGCGCTCACATACATGCAGAACCTACTCATCGAACTCACACAGACCGCAGCAAGCTGGGGAGGAGCCTGGGGCAGGGAAGGGGTAGATGTACGCCAGTATCACACGCCTCGGGCAGGAGTAAGCTGGGATTTTTTTCTTTTAAGATCCATCGCACCATGTGATGACCATAGTAAATAATAGTGTGTTGTAAACACTGCTGAGAGAACATTTCAAATGTTTTCACACACAAAAAAAAATAAGTATTGGAAGTGATAGATATGTTAATTAGCTTGACTTCATTATTCTGAAATGACATTCTGCATTATATTAGTCATAGAATTATTTTGTACCCCATAAATACAGGTGATTATGATTTGTCAATTTATAATAATTTTTTTAAAATTTTTTAAATTAAAAGACTATTTAAAACAAAAAATAGAATTTGACTTTTCTGAAATTCAGAGTAAATCTTTTTTGGGGAGTGGGTTACTGGGGATTGAACTCAGGGACACTCAACCACTGAGTCACATCCCCAGCCCTAGTTTGTATTTTATTTAGAGGCAGGGTCTCACTGAGTTGCTTAGAGCCTTGCTGTTGCTGAGGCTGGCTTTGAACTAGTAATCCTCCTGCCTCAGCCTCCTGAGCCACTGGGATTACAGGCATGCACCTCCATGCCAGCTCAGAGTAAATCTCTGAAGAAATGAACAGAGAATTTTTTTAAATAGGTCACTTGAGTATCCTCTGTAACTAAATGTATTTGAAAAGCAGCTTTTACCCCCAACCAAGGTGAATGCATGCCAACATTTGATATTCAAAATATTTCAATAGGTAGTTAATGAAAATAATTCCATTTCAAAACAAAATGTTCTTTTGTTCTATTTCCAAATTTGTGGATGTGTCTGTTTGAAGTGTGCTTTGATATTTTAAGGTGAATCCTCGCAAGCTCGTTGTCATTTGCAACAACTGGTTTCTTTTAATTAGAATATTTTAATCTTTATATGCAAAAAATAATTTAGGAAATAAGAAAAAATTATAAGATGAAGATTGGTGTACGACTCCAAATGTCACCACTAAGTCCTGATTCTGAATCTGCGTTTAGGGCCCATCTTCAAAAATCTCCTGGCTGAATTTGTAATAAGTGCCTCTAACCAATTTGATATTGCAAATTGCAGATGCTCACGTAACAAAAGGGCCCTCCAGGCACACAGGGGGCTTACTGGCGTACACAGAAGAGCAATAAAAAGCTAGATTTCACCTGCAAAGGTAAAATAGACAAAAGAGAGCAGAAAAGCAAACCAGTTTCACACCAGAGGGGCGGTGACGGCCGTGCCAGGCCTCTCCAACCTTGGGCAGAGACGCAGGCAGCTTCGTGGCCCACCAGAGAACAGCTGCGCTGCAGGGAGAGTCTAGGGGCGGTGTGAAGAGCCTCCCCAAGAATCAGACGGAGCTCCACGGGGGCTTGGGGAGCAAGAAGCAAGCCCCAGGGGAGGCTCCGGAAGAGCCTGATGAAGGGGGTGTTTGCATTTCATTTTTTCTTTTTTTTTTTTTTCTTTTTTAAGTACAGTTTCCCCTCCTGATTGTCAAAGGAGCCCCTGGCTTCCTGGAACATGTGAAAAATACAAAATCTCACTCAGGAGAAGAAAAAGCTAACCATGCTGTCACCAGCGGGGTTTTGATGTGATTCCGCCTGGATGTTGAGCATGATTAGGGATGCAGATAAATATGGATTTATTATGAAGTCACTGGTTTATGCACTGATTTGGAAGCTGTTTTTTCTTTTAATTTTTTTTTTAGTTGTAGTTGGACACATACCTTTATTTTATTTATTTATTTTTATGTGGTGCTGAGGATGGAACCCGGGGCCTTGCCTGTGCCAGGGGAGCGCTCTGCCCCTGAGCCCCAGCCCCAGCCGGGAGCTGTTTCTTTATACGTAACTAGTTGTCCAAGGGCCTCCGTATTGCCCAACAATCTTCTACCACCAGCCAGTGAGGGATGGCCTGGGTGTGCACCGAGTCTGATGGACCCCAATTTATCTGCCCCTCCTCATAGCCAGGCCCTGTGGTTTTTTCCTCCATTTTCAAGGGTATAAAAGACACTGGACTAAACACCCCATGTACCAGGCTGGACATCCTTGGGATCGAGTCCCCAAAACTGAACTGCTGCCGGGCACAGTGTGGCGTACACCTATGATCCCAGCAACTTGAGAGTCTGAGACAGGAGGATCTCAAGTTCAAGTACAGCCTCAGCCACTTAGCAAGACCCTGTCTCAAGCTAAAAAATAAAAAGGACTGGGGATGTGGCTCAGTGGTAAAGCACTCCTGGGTTCAAGCCCTGGTACCAAAAAATAGATAAATAAATAGAACTACTGGGTCCTAGAATATTAACATTTGCAGATCACAGTGTGTTCCCAAGGAATGTTCCAGAAGGACCATACCCATTCACATTGCCACTGATGATGGAGAGTGCCCACTAGAATGTCTCAAGATTATCTGGACCGTCATGTTTGGAAGACTTCACACCCTGCCGGGTTCCACCTTGTCGGACCAGCCACAGGGACTTTGCCCATCCAAGGCAGGAAGAAGGAATTCCAGCAGACGGAATGGACGTAGCAATGGGGGTCCTAGGTGGCCAGGGCCTGGGGGGCAGCGGGGGGGTGGCCATCCCAGTGCCAAAGCCCTGTGGGAAAGCAGAGTGTCCCAAAGGCAGGCCACGCTGTGGAGGGTGAAGGAATTCGGCACATTTATCCTGGAGAACAGACTTAGAGACTTGGCAGCCCTCCTCGGCTATTTAAAGACTGTCTCATAAAAGAGAAACAAAACGTACTCCAGGTGTCGGAAGTAAGCCGAGAGACCAGAAGTCCCAAGGAGACAGCCGTCAGCTGAGCTCGAGGAAGAGCCGTGCAGTGGGTGGACCTTGGGCCTCCCAAGAGCAGCCGAGTGGAGTTCCCGTCCTCCCTGAAGACGGCGGGGCCAGGAGGCTAGAGTTGACCCTTAGTGCTGACTGTCTGCTAATTTGATGTTTGCTGTTTGTCTAGGAAATAGAATTAAAAGGGCAAAAAGAGACCTCTTTAAATAATAAATTAAGTGATGCACTGGCCATGGTAGAAGAGATTCAGCAAATCAAAACAGCTGAAAGCCTCAGAGCAGAGAGCCTCTCCCTGAAGCTAAATGAATCCTTAGCCGAACTGGAAACTGCCAAGACAAAGCTGGTAAGTTGGTGCCCTGCAGGGGCAGGGACGGGAGAAGGTGCCCCAGGGGAAGAGGACAGTGTCCCTCCCAGCCTCAGCTGAGTACCTCTTTCCTGCTGGGAGCCACTCTGGGCGCTGCAGGAGGCTCAGTGGCATCCCTGTCTCTACCTGCTGCATGCCACTTCCCTTCTCCCAGGGGTGACGACCAAAAAGTGTCTCCAGATGTTGCCAGTGTCCCTTAGAGGCAGAACTGCCCATTGAGAAACGCTGGCGTGGTGTGAAAGGTCACCTGAGGCTGAGGCCTCCTGCAAGTCCTCTGAGATGGAGGGCAGGGGCTGCACAGCCCACGGGGAAGGAGCAGGAGCCCCGGGACCTAGTGATCCGCGACTGCTCCGCAGACCCTCAGACAAGGCTTTCAGCTGCGGTGGGTGCTCGAGGCCCTGGCAGACGGGGTCCCGCACTGCTCTCCTCTGTCATTGGCACATCCAGCCAGCAGCTCCGTGGGCAAGGGCCTGATGGGATGAATCTACCAGAAATACAAGTAGATCAGGGAGCGAGCGGAGAGGCCGGCTCAGGCGGGCACGTGGTGGACGCCGCTGTCGGTCAGATTCACAAGGACCTGGATGCTCAGGGCTGGGGAGAGCGAGGGAAGGGAGGGGCCTGGCGGCAGGCGTTGCCATGACAGCGCTTGATAAAGGCTCCAGCTTCAAGCCAGGGCAGCTGGGGCCACGATGGCAGGCGAAGGGCACCTTGGTGGGAACGGGGAGGGCCTGGGTGGGGTTCTCCCAGGGAGCGAGGTGGAGAGGAGCGGCAGGTAGCGGAGCTCTAGCGCTGCCCCAGCTGGCGCAGTTCAGCAGATTTGGGAGGGGAAGAAGGGGAATTGAATCTGGAGGAGACTCACTGTTGGAAAGTGGGCACAAATGGGCTGTCCCAACAAAGAAGTCACACCTCAGGAGACCAGAGGCCAGGCCTGGGTAATAGGTAGGGAGCAGGGGCCAGAGAAGCAGGGTCAGTCGGCGAAGCAGGAGGGAGGGAGGAAGGGGCAGAAACACCAAGAAGGGCCTCAGGAAGGGGGCGTCTGATTCGCCATTCAGGGGCCTTGGTGACTTCTGTTTTTAAGAAGTCCCAATCCATTTGCTTTTTTCCCTATAAAATTTTTCATTCATTCATATTGATCAAGAATCTGGGTCTAGATGGGTGGGCCCAGCAGTCAATGAGAAAAGGCGTTTCTTCTGCCGCGGAGTTGAGTTCTAGCAGGCAAAGAAACAACGGAACAAGCTCACTTCAGGTGGTGATAAAGGTCTTGGGGAACACTAAAACCGAAAATTAAACAAATCAAATAGAAAGTGTCTCAGGCCCCTCTTATAGATGGGTGATCGGGGAAGGCTCTTTAAGGGGATGTTGGAGCTGAGACCTGAAAGACCAGAAGGGGTGGGTGAGCCATGGGAGGAGCCAGGGAAGGAGCATGCCAGGTAGAGGGAACAGCACAAGCCAAGGTCCTGTGGCCAGACCAGTTCAGCCCTGTGTTGTGCAAATGAGAACAAGTGTGTCGTCATCACATCCAGCTCCCACATCACATAACCATTGCCCTGTTTCCCCAGATCATGATGGAGGAGCAGATAATACTACAGCAACTGACAGTAAAGAGCCTCCAAGACCAGAGGGAAACCCAGAAACACGGATTCGAAGAAGAAATCCAAGAATACAAGGAGCAGATCAAACAGCACTCCCAGACGATTGTGAGCCTAGAGGAGAGACTCCAACGAGTGACCCAACACCATAAGAAAATAGAAGAAGAGATTGCAACCCTGAAGGTCAATAACCCAGGTAGGCCCAGAGAGAGACCCAGGGAGCCCCGCACCAGGGCAGCTCGGGGTGCCGCAGCCCCGCATCCGGCCGACCTGAGACAGGCTGCACCCACTGAAAAGCTGTCTCGGTGGCCCAAGGCCCCCGTGCTTCTTGCTGCACGAGGACGTCAGAAGCCCTCGAGGCCTGGGTGAGCCGAGGCGCTGGCGATGAGTCGGGACATCTTTTGTGCCAACCCAGTGAGGCGGCGACACACATGCCGCGGGAGCCGTCAGGCGTGACAAGAGCAGTGGACACAGCCGTTCTTGTCCACATGGAAACGTCCACACAGGGGCCTCTGCAGGGCTGCTCTTGCCTTCGGCCATTTGCCACTTGACTGGAGCCCTTGCAGGCGTGGCCGGGTCAGCTCTGTACAAGAGAAGCTAAAAACGGAAATGGGGGCTGGGGCCCACGTTCCCCCAGTGACGGAGCTCACCATCCTGATAGATGCTGAGCTCTTAGAGAAGAGGTCTGGGGCCTGGGTTTCTTTGGCCTCGGCCCTACTGACCTTCTGGGCTGGACAGGGCCACCTGCCCTAGTCCTGCTAAGGGTTCCCCAGCCTCCCCGGCCTCCCCGGCCTCCCTGGCTAGATGCCAGGATTCCTCATGTCTCACAGCCATAAAGGCCTCCAGACCTTGCTGAATGTCCCCGGAGGAAACTTCCCTCTGGTTGGGACGTAGTCCTGCTTCAGTGGCCAGCTGTGGGCACAGGCCCCTGCCGTCGTCCAGCTCTTAGTTGAGCATCTGTTATGTTCCAGGCTCAGCGAGGCTCTGGGGATTCTGCAGGTATGGACTCTGCAGGTCCCCAGGTGGTGGCCCTGGCAGGTGAACAGTGTCCTCTGAGGATGCTCACGCTGGAACCGAGGGCGATGACATCTTGTCGCCTCCACACTTAGATCAGTGCCTGCCTTAAAGCAGACACCGCATGGGTGTTTGTGGGATGAGAGGGGGACAAGGAGGTGGGGGTGGGGGGCTGAGGAGCCAGAGGAGGTGGGAAGAAGACAGGCTGGGGGACGGTGCCCCGGCTGTGCCTCCCGCAGCAGTTCTGTCACTCCAACATGCGCTCCCTGGTCTGTCAGTGGACTTGGGGACGCCTGCCTGCTAGCGAAGGCGGAAGACCCCAGGGCCCCTGGGTTACTTAGGAAGAGAAGGGGCCAGTTGGGCTTCTGGCCTGATCCAAGGTGGGGGGGACACATCTGTTGATGCCCTCTTGCTGGCAGTCCTGGGGCCACACAGGTGGCAAAGGACGAGAGGCAAGAGGGGTGCCTGTGTTTCTGGTCTCTCTTCTCCTAAAGCCAACCACTACCAGTCTTGGGGGGCCACACCCTGATGGCTTTGTCTGATCCTCAAAGGCCCCACCTCTAAACAGCAAGCTCCGGCAGGGATTAACTTGGGTGCGCACCTCCAGAGGTGGCCACCCACATTGTAACCACGGCCTCTGCTGGAGAGAGCCTCCGCTGTGACGCAGAACCCAGGGTGGGTCTCCCAGGAAGGAGGGCAGCAAGTCGGGCCCGTCAGGTGGCCCACAGGCCAAGGGGAAGGAGGGCATCCACTTCTGGGCGGGGGCCTAATGTCGTGCGTCCCTCTGCTGCAGCCGAAGAGGCAGAAATGCCGGAAGAGCTTCCCGTGGCCACCCCATTGGAGAACAGTACCAAAGAGATGGCGTGCGACCACTTGATGTGAGTACCGGAGGGCGCCAGGCCAGGCCATCCCCAGGGGCACTGGGGAGCTAGAGCAGACCCAGAATCCCCCAGCTTTGGCCAGGTCTTCAGAGCCCAAGAAAAGGAAATGGGTCCTGAGTTCTCGATGCCATTATATTACATTTCTCGATTCCTTCAACCAGTCAGAGGGTGCAGCAGAAAGGCCCGGGAGGTCGATGTTCAGATCCCCACTCAACACTGGTAGCTGTGTGGCCTTGAACCAGTCAGACCACCTCTCTGAGCCTCGGCTTCCTCATTGGCTGAGTAAGGATGTTGGTGTCTGGCACTTGGTAGATTCGTGTTCATGGTATCAGTAGCTGTCTTCCCCGGGTCCCTGCCAGACAGACCCCACTGTCCCAAGCAGACGGTGGAGGTTTCACACAGCAGAGACCACCTAGTGGAGTCCTGGAAGGAGTTCAGAGTTGAAGACCTGGACTAAATGACCTTAACCAATAACGACCCTGCTCTCCCGACTCGAGAGTAGAGGACCCTAGAACTTGTGCCCTCAGGAATGGACGGTTTTCAGAGAAACAAAACCTATGGATGGGACAGATCCAGAAAGCCACCACCCAGCAGCGTGTCGACACGAGGCAAAAACCTGACTCAGAGCAGGCACTGGGGAAGCTCCTCAAGGTGGCAGGCCACCCGCTGACCCTGCCACCAATTCCACTCACCAAAGGCAGTGTCCTGGGTTTTCACCCCAGGAAAGGCAAAGACACCCCGTCCCCACATGTTGAGAAGTTCCTGACTGTCTGCTGTTGGAACTCTGCCGGGCCCAGTGGCCACCACTGGCAGAGGCCAGGCAGCCACATGGCTCTGGTTGTCACTGCGTTAGTGTGCATGGTCACTTAAGTTGTGAACTTCTCAGTGTGGCCAAAGACACGGTTCCCCCCC